AGGTCTTCCTACTTAGTGGCTTCATGTTGGTCAAAACCAAGCCTTATATTATTGGCTTCATGTGCCATAGTTGTGAAAATCAACATCTAGTCTCAGCCTTGCCAGAACCAGTGAAAATATCCTTGGAGCTTCTTTGCCAACACTAACTCTTGACTTCCACCTCTTATAGTCACCAACTTTAGAGAATGACAAGGTTAGAATATTTTCTCCTTTCTGTTTTAACATGTTGGATTTTTATAACACTCAAATCATTGTATTGTCTGGGGCTACCGGAAACTTAGATCAGTGGTTTTCAACTGCTGTGCTGTGCTGCAAGAATTTTTTTTAAAACATGCAATACTGCCCTAGTTGGTTTGGCTCAGTGGCTAGAGCGTCGGCTGCAGACTGAAGGGTCTTAGGTTTGATTCTGGTCAAGGGTATGTACCTCGGTTGCAGGCTCGATCCCTGGCCTCTGTTGGAGTACATGCGGGAGTCAACCAATCGATGTGTCTCTCTTACATCACTGTTTCTTTCTCTCTATCCACCCCCCCTTTCACTCTCTCAAAAAAATCAATGGAAAATATCATCAGGTAAGGATTAACAACAAAAACAAATATGCAATACCTGACTATTTAGTCAGGCGCACAGACCTCTTTCCCCCTTCTTTTTTTTTTTTAATTTTTTAAAAACTATATTTTATTGATTTTTCACAGAGAGGAAGGGAGAGGGATAGAGAGCTGGAAACATCGATGAGAGAGAAACATCGATTCAGCTGCCTCCTGCACACTCCCCACTGGGGACGTGCCCGCAACCAATTTACATGCCCTTGACCGGAATTGAACTCGGGACCCTTCAGTCCGCAGGCCGACGCTCTATCCATTGAGCCAAACCGGTTAGGGCCCCCTTTTTTTTAATTAAAAAAAAAGGACAACAGCCAAGGTAACAATAGCTGTCCAGTGTGGATGATTCAGAATTATACCGTGTTTTGGTTTTTTTGTCAGATCGGCAAAAAATATATTTTTTGCTGTGCCCCACAATTTTAGTAATTAGTTTGTGTGCCGTGAGATGAAAAAGGTTGGAAATCGCTGACTCAGATTGTGAGATAGCGGTGACTAACGGCACATTTCAGCTCCTCGGTATACCAGCTGTCTGACTTTGGGTAAGTCACTGAACTTCTGTGCTCTGGTTTCTCATCTGTGAGTTGGGATTGGGTAATAATAGTAACTGCCTCATAGAATTGTTACGGTACATGAACTAGTTCATTCATGGTTAGCGCTTTTCTGGAACGTTGGAAATGGTCGATAAATGTTAGCTGTTGTGATGATCATGGAATACACAAATAGCGTGAGACACCTTTATGCCATCATTATTTTCTTTTTCTTGATAAGGAGCATGTTTACTGAAATTTCATAATGATGACAGTGATGGGGATAAATTTCAGTGGGATCTAGAAGGTTTGGTTATGTAAACGTTGGACCTCCCAGATGGAGGAAATGGTGTGCGTGAACTCTGACCCGAGAAACCTGGGATTGTCCCAGGAAAGGGGAGGAATTCAGGTGGACTGCAGTGTAATGTGCTCCATGGGGAGCAGTGAGCAATCCAGTAGGAATAGAGATTTGGGGTTAGTAGCCCCTGGAGGTCCTGAGATGGCAGGCCAGGGTTTGGGACTGTGGGCCTTTGAGTACTGAGATCCCTTTGCCGGCAAGGCACAGAGGGGATTAGAGGGAACAGGACCTGGGCCAGGAGACAGCTGGGAGGCTGTTGAATTTGTAGGACTAGAGAAGAGGAGGTGGCATTGCTAGCACTTCGGAATGGATACAGGGGGTAGGTGGGTCTCAAGCATAGGTAAGTGCCGTTAACAGGCATAGGGAACTCTGGCGTAAGGGTGGTTTAGGATAGAGGAATATGATTTCAGTTTGATGGATGTCAACTGGAGGTACATACAGATAGGACAACCCCAAAAAAAACACCCCTTTGATAGAAATTCAGAAGTGAATGCAGGCAAAGAGATCAGCTTCAGAGATAAAGCGCCTCCGTTCTGAGAGTGCTAAAGACAGAACAGAGGAGATTGCTGGAGACCACGCCCACAGGCTCAGAAGGAACCCCACATTCTTTGGACAGAAGCGCTGGAGTGCGGGGTTTGATTCCGCTGCTCTGTGCGAGTTAAACCTCTCCTCACATTTCCTACGTGCCTTCCAGTTTTTCAATCTGTTCATGGACCAAAGGAGAAATGCCAGTTTCCCTTTTCCCCATCACATACTGAGGGGCAGTAACTCCCAGGATTCCTTTAATACTGGGCCGAGAATTAAATTAAAATGGCATTATAACATTTACATATTTTTTTGTTACAAAGTTAGAAGACGGAGACTCTGAAGACATACCTTAAAATTTAAAAAAAAATTTCAGGACCAAACTGTTTTATAACCCTTCATTTTGTGTGTGGTTTTTCCGTGGATATAAAAATACTCAGTGGATGTGGGGGTGGTTTCTCGTATTTTGGAAATGGTGAGAATATGAGATGCTGAGCACTGGGTCCTGGGATGAGAGCTATAATTACTAACGGATCCTTTACCAGGATTGGCTCCTGGGTGGATATCTGAGTTTAAAAACCCAACCCTCCAGAATCCCGAGCAATGAGCCACTTCCCCTCCCGATCCCTGGAAATTAAAACTGTGGCGGAGAGGAGAGGGAAGGTAGGATGATGGTTCTTCTGGGCCTAGTCTCCTCTTGTGCCGTTTGCCGAGTGTGCGAATCAGGGATGTGACTGAAATGAAGGCTGGTGTGGCTTCTCCTAGCCTGACACACAGCAGCCACTGCACAGCTGTGATGGAAAGAGGTCTAAATATAACCCAGACTCATTTCAAATCCTCCTCCCCCAAGTCTTGGCGGATGTGGTACACGCCCTAAAAATACCTGCTGTCTGAACCTTGAGGTATCTGAAGAGGAAGGGACGGGTGAGGGTGTGGTATTTGGGGGCGGACGGGCCAGCTACCAGGCCTGCTGCTGCCTGGGGCCTGCTCCGGAAGCTGTTGGTGAGCTGCCCACCGTGCCATCCTGTTCAAGGATAAGTGCCCACTCTTGAGGCTCGTATTCACTGTTGGCAGGTTTCAAGGAAACTATTCATAGACTGAGCATCTGTTCTCTGTCCCATTGACCTCAAGCCTGCAGCTGCCACCATGGTATTCAGGCAGCATGATGGCTTTCAGTCTTGTTCAGAGAATCAGGATTTTAGAGCAGGCAAGGACCTTAGACATTATATTGTTCATAAAACAGTCCCTTAAAATCACTACGTTCAGGGAATCATATTTCTCTGCCTCTGTAGTGACCCTGGCGATTTGGACGTGGAGTCTCAGTCCCAGATTACTAAAAGAAATCCCTCCCATCGTTATCTAACACAAGTAGGCATAAAGAAAACCTGCATTTTATTTTTTTTTAATGTTGACTAAGTGACCCTGGCCAATGCTTTTTATTTATTTATTTATTAAACTGTAAATTTGAGGCTCTTTTTTTAATCTAAATTTTAGCATTTTGAATATAAAGTTCATTGGCAACATAGCCAGAACACCAGGAGTCGTGTTTTCTTTTTTTTTTTTAAAAAAAATATATTTTATTGATTTTTTACAGAGAGGAAGGAAGAGAGATAGAGAGTTAGAAACATCGATGAAAGAGAAACATCGATCAGCTGCCTCCCGCATATCCCCCACTGGGGATATGCCCGCAACCCAGGCACATGCCCCTGACCGGAATCGAACCCGGGACCCTTCAGTCCACAGGCCGACGCTCTATCCACTGAGCCAAACCGGCTTCGGCAGGAGTCGTGTTTTCAAGAAGTCTTTCAGTATCCAGTTTCTGGAATGCCAAGCCATAACTGTGGTATTGTAACTGAAGGACCATCGCTGACCTCTGCTTTCCTGGGAAGGAAAGATTTCGCAGGTCATCTCCAACACCCTTGGGATGCCTTCAAAGTCATGGAGGCAGTAGGCATCTATATATATAAAAGCCTAAGCGACTGTTTGACCGGTAGCTGTGACGTGCACTGACCACCAGGGGGCAGACGCTCAACGCACAGGCATGGAAACATGGAACAGACTGATGAATCTCAGAGGGAAGGGAGTCGGGGGAGGGCGGGAAGAGATTAACCAAAGATCTTACATGCATACTAGAGTACTGTTGCATGGTTTCGTGCACTGGTGGTGTCCCTTGGCCTGGCCTGCGAGGATTGGGCTGAAACCCGCAATCCAACATCCCCCTAGGGGTCCCAGGTTGCGAGAGGGTACAGGCCAGGCCAAGGGACCCCACCAGTGCACGAATTCATGCACCGGGCCTCTAGTCATTTTATAAAACAGCATAACTCACCCAACTTTTGAAATGTATAACTGCCTAATCCCGCCTCCTTCAGTAAACTCTGAGATGGTTGGATGAGGAGCCTGGCTAGGAGCCAGGTAGAGGAGAGCAAAGAAGCCCTAAGAAGCCTCCCCAGCTAATGGGGGAGATGGGATCAGTTCATGTGCTGAGTAGTTTTAAATATGCGACATTATGGCAGCTGCAGAATTTCCATAGTTGTAACAGGAATGTACCCTCCACTGTGAGCGTCTCGGAGCTTCTTCCATGTAACTGGAAGAGTGTTATTTAGTTTTTACTGTGGGTTGAAAGTCATTTGAAAGTTTTTCTTGAGTGTTCAAAGCTACCAGAATGGCTGGAGTTTTTTATGTCTCGTACTACGTATCTGAAATAGTCACCTCTAGAAGCTCAATTTTCCCTGGATCAGTGCACGTGTGACCGGGAGTAAGGTGTGCTTGAGACCATTCACTTGAGAGTGGATGTGATTTTGTGGAAAGAGCGTGGCTTTGGATTGTTAATCTCTTCAGTTGTGTAGAAGCCAAGGAGGGTGTGGGTAGAGAGGCCAGCTCTTTCTCCCAGGCACGCCAGGAAGAAAGGAAGGGAGAGGGTGTTGTCCGCACGTGTGGTACCCAGGTGGCGCAGTTCATGGATTCTCAGACATTTCCCCTCTGCAATTCCAGAATGAAGAGCTCCGAAACTTGTCCCTCTCTGGCCATGTTGGATTTGACAGTCTTCCTGACCAGCTGGTCAACAAGTCGACTTCTCAAGGGTTCTGTTTCAACATCCTGTGTGTTGGTAAGTGACTCATCACCTGCTGCCGGGCATGGAGTCTGACCTTCAGCTGGCAGGTGCCTGTGCGAGAGACTCATTTCAAGGAAATAAGCAGAATGACATTTTCACTTTTTTTTTTTCTTCATTAGTAAAGCAGGACAATAATACCCACTGTCTATATGTCCCACCGTTACAAAGATTCTTGTATTTGGGTACATGCTTTGTAAGTTTTGTGGTGTTACTCAAACTGTTTTTACTTAGTGGTCAGTTTAATGTTGTTATTAAATCATTTATTTTCATTTTTGATAGGGGGGGGGACTTAGATCCTAACTAGACACTAGTTAAAAGCAGGAACTGAGATGTACACACATAGTAAGACCACTCAGAAGCCTGTTAAGCATGTGTTGCCGGGGTCCCTAACTGCAGTGCACTAGTTACCTCCATTAGGGGTCTTTTAAAAGATATTCTACCTACAGTAAGTAAAATCTGAAACTACTCTAACTACTTTAATAAACGTACAGTGTTTAAAATGTTTGCTTTGAGAGCAAAGACAACTTAAAATTTTGCTTCATGTTTGAAATAAACTTTCTGCCCAGTTGTCAGATTAACCTTTCATCCTTAAAGTTGGAATCTAAAATTGACCTAAATTTATTCCTGGTAGACAAATGGCAAAGGTCAAAGAGATCTGGCTTACTTGTATCCTCAGTACATTTTATTCATAGCCTTTAAAACATCACACATTAGCCGAGGCCACTGGCTGTGGTATTTTTCTTCTTCTCTCTGGTCGTATCCCTTTTAAGCCGAGAGGAGGAAGGTAGAAAAGAAGGTGGAAAGGGGGAAGGCAGAAGTACAGATCTCCTGATGATCTGAAGCAGAAATGCTCCTGGGACAGATGATGGCCTTTCCTGCGACAGGCTGAGCCGCAGGGCAGTGGTTTGGACGGCACTGGTTTGTTGCCATTGTCCTCTGGGCATGGACCCCCAAGACTTCACTCTGAGGTAGAGCAACAGGAATTCTGCGTTTCTGTAGAGCCCAGTGGACACGGGCTTGGCAGAATGTACCAGACTCACTTCTCTTGTCCAAGGAGAGTGAAATGAATTTAGAGAAGGCATGCACTCCATGTAAGAACCACCATTTTTTAATATGATCCCCATGGGGGGGAGGGGCAGGTGTTTCCCTGTTTGGAAGTTTTTGAACATGTTGCATGCAGCTGCTGCACTGGGTGCTCATCAGCAGAAAGCCACCATTGATCGGCACACAGACCGGCTCGCTCTCTGGCGTGAGGTCCGGGACCAGGCAGCCAGCTCTCCTGCTTGCTTTCTCCTTTTCCCTACGTGAAGTGAAGCCGCTTAAAATTCAGCAGGGCGCCTCCTGAGTGGCAGCTAGTTCTACAGCGTGGCATAAATGAATTGCCTTTTCTCTTACAGTAAATGCTGCTTGCAGAGCCTGCAGTTCCTCATTAGCATAGCAATTTGTTGGCAATTTGTTGATTTTTTTTTTTCTATTGAAAAGTGGGCTGAATTGTAGGCTGATTACTATTCTGGCTTCTCTTTCCTGCCTCCCCCAGCCTCGTCTTCAAAATCAGCTTCACAAATACATGTGAGAGTTATGTCCCAGCCCCTGCAGGTTGGGGAACTTTCCGGGGGCACTGGGCTTGCTGGGCGGACCTGGTTTGACAGGGTATATGGTGTGAAGTGGGTGTGTGGGTTGTTCCTGGGCTGACCCCTTGTGTTAAATAAGTAGCACAGGTATGATGCTGGTCGGAATTCCTCCCAAGCCACGTCCGTGCTGCCCTGTTGGATTTGCAGAGCAGCTGCTATTTTGACTCACTTGGGTGGGTAACAATACCTATGATTCTTAGATTTTTTTAAGATTCTGGTTCTATTCTTAGCCATGTTTAAAATTAGTTTTTCAAACTAACAAAAATAGTACATACTTTCTGTTTAAAAAAAACAACCCCCTCCTTTCTGTTTTTCACGCGCATTTCCGTTCCACAGAAATAACACTGAAATCCTTCTAGAAACTTTCTACATCGTTCGGTACTTGGAAATTATTTTTGGAGGCTTAAGAAACAACACCAATTTATTACTATTAGTATTATCTTGTGGTTCTCTACAAGGTCAAGATGTGTCCCCCTGGGCTCCATTCAAGGCATTGGCAGGACCACAGTCCTTTCCAGAACCTCTAGGACGGCGGTTGCCAACCGGTTGTCCGCGGTTCACTGGTGGTCCATGAGGTCCGAAAGGTTGGCAACCACTGCTCTAGGGGAAACTACATGTCCTTGCTATTTTAGCTTCTAGTGGCTCTTGGAGCCTCCATTTTCAAAGCCAGCAACATTGCACTTCTCTCTCTCTCTCTCTCTCTTACTGCTCTTGTAGTAGGAAAATTTCCATGGAGAATTGCTAAAATCCAGTTTAAACTCAGTTAAGACGCTTCCTCAACCCCCAACACTGAAAAGGCCATATAGTGAATGGTGGCCTAAGTCCTCAGGGAGGGAGATGGGGTAAGCCCAGCTCCAAACACAAGGGGTTCCCATGGGGAAGAAGACTTGACCAGAAGGCAGACGGGCATGAGGGAGGCACACACTGGCCAGGTACAGCAGCTCTTTCACAGTTATATACGAACTTACTAATGTTGGTTTTAGAGCTCATGCGGCTCATATTCTTCTGTGTGTGTGTTTTTAAAAAATATATTTTTATTGATTTCAGAGAGGAAGGCAGATGATGGAGAGAGAGAGAGAGACATCAAAGATGAGAATCATTGATCGGCTGCCTCCTGCACGCCCCACACTGGGGATGGAGCCCACAACCTGGGCATATGCCCTGACCAGGAATTGAACCGTGGCCTCCTGGTTCATGGGCCAAAGCTCAACCACTGTGCCACACTGGCCAGGCTGTGTTTTCTTTTTCTCACTCCACAGTAAGTCCTGGCTGCCCTTCCCTGCCAGTATTTCAAGCCAACAGATTCTTTTCCATAACTCTTTGGAGCCCTTTGGTTAGAGCCAGCATTAGCTCTTTGGGACACAGGGGTGTCAGCATTAATATTAAGCATACTTATCCTCAGAGAGTGGAATGCATCAAATCTTTTTACCATAAATATTTTACAGCAAAATATCTGTGTAAGAAAACAACTCTCTGCCAATCAATGGTCCATCTATTTTTAAAGTAAGAGTCTGTGAAAAAGGGTTCTAGCTTTTGACAGTCCTCAGAGGAATTGGTGTCATATTTAGCTTAAGAGCATCCATGGTACTTTCTTTCCTCCTTGTCATCCTACTATCTATTTGTAATTTTTTACACAGTATGTATGTGTTTCCTGTTTATAGCACCATTAAATTATTTTCATGTGGTAAGTATGGAAGGGACTTGAGGATTTTTAAAAAAGTTATGAGCGTAGTAAGGAAACTGATGATGTTTCTCAAAATTTGTTTTGTGGCAAGGTGTACTGTGTGTCGCAAACAGAGGAAATGAACCGGGGCAGAAACTAATCCTGGCAGGAGCTTAGTCTAGTTTTAGAGGCACTGAATTAAATGTCTGTTATCAGCATCCATCTCTGTTGAGCTCTGGAAAGAAATGTAACCAAGAGTGAGAGAGTAGTGTTCACTTAACCGGGAAGAGAATTCTTGAAGCTAAACTGGGTACCAGAACACCTGGGAGTTCATAGTTCCCTCCCTCTCCATCTTGCTTGCAACACACTGAATCACCCCAAAGCTGCACTTTGGTGTAAATGAAGCCTTTTCTGTCTTCCCTATGCTGTATTACTCCAGGAATGCGTTTGCCTTTCAGCCAGCGGTCAGAGCATGGAGGAAAGCTGTTCAGCAGATATGTATTGAGCACATGCCATGTGCCAAGTATGTTAAAAGTTTAACAATGACAGATTTATAGTATCTGTGACACACAATTTCAGCTGGACAACGGTTCTCCTGGGGGCTTTCAGAAAAGATAAATCCCCACATCTAGGCCTAGGTTCCTGAGGGTCCCCAGGTCAGTGGAATGGACCCAGGCGATGCCAAGTGTCACATGCTTTTCTTTCAAATCCCTCCTGCAGGCTGGTGGGATTAGCCAAAGCATGTTTCATCAAAGGCGATTCTCTGAGATGAAATGACACAGCTTAGGTACATAGCTCTCTGGTTACCTGGCTCCAACCAAGAATAAAACGGAGACTCCTTAGAGCAGGTGGCAGACCTTCCTGCACAGTGACTTGGCTAGTCATTCCAGTACTCAGCCTTGGCCATCAGAGTAAAAATGCTGCATCGTAGAGCAACTATTTGGTCAATCTATAGTTCCCTTCTAATTAATTAATAATATATAGTCCTTCTGCTTGTTTGTTGTTGTTGGGTTTTTTTGGCTTGTTTCTTCTTTCAATGTCCAACTAAGAGCTTGTAGATTTAAGTAAGCCTGAGATGAGAACGGAAGAGGCGGGGCTGCTTTCCACTGTGATGTGGGTGTCATGCTCACCAGCATCGGCGGGAGCAGAAAAACAGAAGGGGGCGGGCACGGGACGGGGGGTGCTTCAGAAGTAAATCTCTAATTATTCTAATAACTAAGCATTTAGGTAGATGAATTTACAACAGAAACACACACACACACACACACACACACACACACACACACAAAACAGCACACTCGGAAAAACCTACCAAGTGGCAAATCTCAGTATAAAAGATCATCAGGATCATTTTTCTTTCCAATTAACTTTTAATAAAGGCCAGGTATTCTGCTGAGGAGTTTGGAAATGCTTCAACGTTGATGTTAGTCATTCATTTTCTCAAAATATTGTTACCGCTGTTTAATGCGAATTGGAATCTATGCCTGGTAGGCTTTCAGTTACTCAATTAGAATGAACAAAAATATTCTTCTCAAAGGCAGAGACAATGTCCTCCTTTTGGAGGCTGCAGAGAGGCCTCAAAAACTAATGCATTGAAAACTCTCCTAGTTCTAGGATTGCTTTTATTCCAAAAGCTGTCATTTCTTACTGAACTGCTTTTGGTGAATCACACTGCTTCTGAGTAGATGTATCTAATTACAGCTCTGAAAAGCACAGAGCATAGAAATGGAAAGTAAAGCACTTTGAAATTTAAAGGAACAGTGGTTTTTCCAAACCATTGATTAACCCTGTGCTGTAAGTGGGGCCTGGAATGCTAATTGTTCTTAATTTCCTCCCTAATGTAAATGATAAATTACCTTAAAAAAAAAAAAAAAAAAAAAAAAAAAAAAAAAGCTTGGTGTTCCTGATTGACGCGTGCTTAACTAATTCTCAGCCAAGTCAATGAGATGGTAATTTCAGTCCTGTTATGGTAACCGAGAGTCCCTACCAGGGAAATTGAAGGCTTTATTGCTGTCCTGAGGGAAAGAAAGTTGAATGGATCACTGTCTACAGACAGAACCTTTACCTTATAAGGCAGTACTGCTGTCGTCCCTTTGTCTCTGGCCTGAAAATAGGTAAACCGTGAAAAGAAGTTTGCTGCACTTGAGAAAGGTACACATGTACAGGTATGTAAAATGCCTGGAGTACCTACCGTATCAGATTGCCTACCTGATTCTAAGTATCTTAAGAGTGGGAGCCCTGTTTTGTTTCTGTATCCATTACTCAGTAACTTTGTTTTGCTCAAAGTTATTTTGTTAAGCCATGAATCATGGATATGAGCAGCGTTGAACTCTATCATGTTATGTTAGGGAGCACAGACTAGTATAGATTACTCTTACTACGGGTCTTTTTGGTAAGAACACTCAGGAAGGTAAGGAAGACAGGAAAATGTCTCAACTGCTACACAGGCAGACTTCATGGAGATCTGGAATGACATTCAGGATGTTACCGAAGTTCACTCAGTGTCTGCTGTCTCTTTTTAGTGACCATTTTATGCCCAGCACCTATCCTTGCCACATAGTAAATACTCAAGTATTATTAATGACTAGAGGCCCAGTGCACAAAAATTCCTGCACTGGGGAGGGGGGTTCCCCTCAGCCCGGCTTGCCCTCTCTCACAGTCCAGGAGCCCTCAGGGGATGTCCTACTGATGGCTTAGGCCCGCTCCCCATGGAGAGCCTAAGCCACAGTCTGGCCTCCCTCTGTGGGAGGCGACCGGGCTGATTAGGGGAAAGTGCTGCCCCCATCACCCCGCTGCTGCTGCCACTGCTGGCCATGGCAGCTGCCTGAGCCCCGGGCCTTGCAGCCACTGTGGCTTTGTCTGGATGGATGTCCAGAAGACATCTACCCTAATTAGCATATTACTAGCATATTACCCTTTTATTAGTATAGATTGAATTTCAGACACTAAGCTCTATTGTGTCTATCTGCTCTCTTTCTCCTATATTCCCAGCTAATGGTCTGTCAACATCTTCAGTTTCCCTGAAGCCTTTGCTGCCTCATGGCTTCTGCTTATTCACTTCTCTCTGTATAGCTTTTCTTGTGCCATTGTCATGTGTGCAGATTGTGTATCTCTCACTCCAACTGCCAAGGAGGGGAGTTCTGATTGGATAGACAGGTCACTGCCTAGGATGGGGCACTGTCTCAGAGCATCATGATTAGGCTTCCGTGGGTGCCTCTGTTCAGGGGGCTAGCCCTGGTTTAGTTACCTGTGGTCACTAGGTATAAAGCAGCCGTGGGCAAACTATGGCCCGCGGGCCGGATCCGGCCCGTTTGAAATGAATAAAACTAAAAAAAAAAAAAGACCGTACCCTTTTATGTAATGATGTTTACTTTGAATTTATATTAGTTCACACAAACACTCCATCCATGCTTTTGTTCCGGCCCTCCGGTCCAGTTTAAGAACCCCACTGTGGCCCTCGAGTCAAAAAGTTTGCCCACCCCTGGTATAAAGTATTGTCCTGCTCATAAGAGGAATGTGGTTATGGCGGACACTTAGAATATTATTCCCATCATAATAAATTAGAGTCTGATTGGTATTCATTCAGTCATGTTCCAGGTCAGATTCTATGGCATGGGAGAATACCACAGCAGGCTAGTTCGTCGTATTCCCAGAACGGGGCACAGAGCTTGGTGTACAGAGTAAGCAGTGGAAAAATACTGGCTGAATGAAGGCTGAAAGGAGAGGAAATGCTTTGATCTTGTATGTATCCGGGGCCCGATGGGCAAGGTCAAAAAGGAAGGCAAACATACTTTACCAACTCATTCTCTAAGTGAATCATTGTAGTCAATGGCAAACCACACAAGGCTGCTCCCTAGAGAAAGCTCACATCCAGAAAAACGCCATCCTCCTTCACTTTTGCTTTATGTTGGAAAACAGTGAGTAATATGGAACTTGTAATTAAGTGGATTTTGCCATTACAGTGGGAGACTTGCCTCAGGGCTGTAAATCCCAGAGTTCCTTTTTCTCCATGCAGTTGTCACCATCCTGACAGGCATCATCGAAACCCGTTAGAAGAGGACCTGTTCCTGGGATTTGCTGGAAGGGCTGCGGCATATTAGCATGTTCAAATTGAGTTGGAAACCTAATTGGGAGATTTTCCAAATTCAAAATAAAAAGACTTTCCTATGGATAACATTCTTTGATTTCTATTTCCCCTTTTCTGCCACCACATATTGAATCACTAACACCAGCACCATGACAAGGGTGGGGTGGATTCTTTCTCCTTGCCAACTATTTTTGACTCAGATTTAATTTGGAATTAGAATGAAGGAGAATTTTGCTTGGTTTTATGATGAAGATCGGGCTAAAGTTCTTTGTAGCTCCACATTTGTGTCTCACCATTTGATTAGTATAGTTGAACCAGGTACCTGCCACTCTGCTCTGCACATATTAGGGTCTCGGCAAACTTAATGACTTAAATTATCAAGGTGAATTAATAAGGCCACTGTCGCAGGTCATCTAACATGATTCAGTTTCATTGTTTCAGGCATCACTCTGAAACTGGCAGAACTCTCTAGTAAATGTTTACCATCTGGACTCCAGCTGAATAGGAAAAGACAATGAGGACAATATAGAGGATGCACACAAATTCATAACTATAAGCGGAAAATACTGGGCAGTCCGTTTTTTCTGTAATAGGAAAGTCAGGATGCTTTGTTGGCTCAGTGTAGGTGTTCGTCACACAGACTTGGGTTAGAACCCTGCTCTGCCACTGAATAATGTGACTGCAGGCAAGTTACCTACACCCTACCTGAGCCTTCGTGCCCGGCTGTGAAACGGAGGGGAACAGGAGCACCTGTTTGCTTCATGGAGGATTGTGATAGGGTTTAAATAGGTCACGCGTTGGAAGCTTTGGCCACAGCGCCTGGCACAAAGTCAGCACTCAGCCACTTCGTGGGCGTGTGATTGTGACTGTTACTCTCCAAAGTGTTGTTTTGAAAATGTAATTCTTTATGACAGCAGTACCTGGTATCCGATAATTCAGTATAAATGGAATATGTCTCTTCCTAGTAACAGAAGTTCAACAGCATGATTTCCTTGAGGCAACAGTTTTACACACCAGCAGTCAGGAGAAGAAGAGACACCCTTTACGTCTTTGTAATGTACACACAGGCTGTTTCTCTAGAGCCAAAGAAGAGTATCTTGATCTGTAAGTTCAAGATCTCTTCTGCTCAGTAGTTTCTAAAACTAATTATGACGACGTTGCTAGGGAGGTGTTCGATAAAGCTCACCTGGGAAGAACTGTCTTTTCGTGGAGGGATCCCTGGTGGTAGTGGCTTTTTTAGAAGTTGTACACACATGGTCATGAGGCACTGACGTTCTCCGATTCCTCCCCTGTGGTCATGTAGGTGAGACGGGCATCGGCAAGTCCACGCTAATGGACACTTTATTCAACACCAAATTTGAAAGTGACCCCGCTACTCACAATGAACCAGGCGTCCGGTTAAAAGCCAGAAGTTATGAGCTTCAGGAAAGCAACGTCCGGCTGAAATTAACCATCGTGGACACTGTGGGATTTGGAGACCAGATAAATAAAGATGACAGGTATATCTTGGGATTTTGGTGGGGATATAAATGGATGAAGCAATAACATGACCCATCCCTGGTAAATTCAAAGGCTGAATGTTCACGGATGATGGTAGTTGGTCCCACCGTATTGATGAAAAGATGACACGTTCTTGTCCTGAGACATTTTCTTAAAGTCAGAATCAGCCTGTGTAATTGATTCCAGCTAGTGTAAGCAGAAAGGGGATGTGTTAGAAGGGATAAGGTAACTTATGGCATTTTTCCAGGAGGGCTATGGAACCAGGTTTGGGGGATTTCCCGTCGGGAAAATCAATTTAAAGGAACAGAAACATACAACTGCCCCACCGGACAGTTAGCGGAAACCCCTACCGCCAACCACCTTGTGGCCCTGGGCTAGGTCCCTGGAACCTCCACCAAGTGTGTCCAGATAACTAGGGGCCTCCACCATCGCTGCAAGAACCCTTCCCCTGTGTGACTTCTGCCTTGGGTTGTTCCTGAACACCCTAAACGAAGGAAACATTTTTATGAAAGATCTGTTGGGAAAATCTTAGTTTCTGGCTGACTACTTTAAGTGTTCCATTTTATCTCAAAAGAAGTTTGAGAAAGTTAAAATAAAACTGTCCCAGGCCCAAAGATGTTTCCAGGAGGGGGCTTCCAGAGACATTTTTGAGCGATGACAGCATTGTGGGAATAGAACACCAAGTCAACAAATGATGGTGTGTTTACTTAGAGCTCAGAAACTTCATTAGCACCAGGGCTTTTCCTGTTTGGTTTTTTATTCAAAACTATGTATATTATATACATGTGTTTTGTATAAAGGAACTTGAACTATTTTTTTATCTAGAAATGCGCATTGCCTAGATAGGTGGGGGGAGGGGCAAAAAGTAGGTTATAGTTGTTTGTATGGAAAAGAATATAATAATTAATAAATAGTAATACAAGAATAAAGTCTGTTTCATGCACTCACAACTGAAAACCTACTTTTGCCCACCCTGTATTTTAACTGTCGCATATCTATATGAGCACCGCGGTGATGAAGAAGAAATACTTAATTCCTTATATAGCTGAGCACTGAGCTCTGTTTTATCTATAGAGCAATTTAAATGCTCTTCAATAAACACTGTCCGGTACTAACAGAAGAACGTGTTAGATATAGTGAGAGATGTTATTTTGCTGGTCAAAATGGACTGTCTGTACATTGTGTAGGGGTCGGGGACAGCTGAGCTCAGACCCTGCAGCTGAGCAGTTGCTCTTAACTTACGACCTCAGTGCCAAGCAATGATGGCGAGGTTACTGCCTGAAGGCTGTTGGTAATGCCAAGTGGAGTGGATGAAGAGAAAACCCTGGCGACCAGGTAAAGAGCACAGGTGCCTTGTGGGAGCCCGGGAGAGAGCTGGGGCCCCTGGTCACTGTGCAATCACAGTGCACACTCAGAGCAAGGCGTGTCTCCGTCTCCGACCCGCACGGTTTCTCCCTGGGGTTAAAGTGCGTGCACACCGTTGGGAAGGCAGCAACTGGACCTTTTCAGGATCCCTTTCTGCAGGAATGCGACTATCCTCCAGCATCCTGCGACTAAGATTCCACGTGCTGTTCTGGCTCAGAGTCATGCCTCAGTCCTGCCCCTACGTTGTTGCCCACCTCTAACCAGGGACTTTGCCTTAGGCGGGTGGGTTTGCACTCACCTGCACCGACCAGCAAGTGGCTAGTCCTGTGCCGATCCTCATCGCTGCAGCTGGAGGCCTCTTTAAGAAATTATCTGACTCATTTGGGTCAAATAGTAGTTTCCAAGGAGACTTAGAAGAGAGGAAGTATGATATTAACCTAACCTAGATACCAAATATTTTTTTTCTTCTGAAATTTCTTGACAGCTGTTGCATAACCTCTTTCAATGGCATTTAGAACTCTGTGCCCCAGAAGGCAGTGTGGACACTATGGACTGTAAACCCAAATGACTACTGTTTAAAATAGTTGTTCAGATAGGCCCTGCATCCATCCAAAAATTGGAAGTGGGATATGCATTTTTGCGTTGATACGTAACTGTATGGTAAAGGATGTGCTGTTTCTCTGAACCCATGATTATTTTACTAGTGTGGGGATTAGGCAAGCTTTTCTGCCATTGATGCAAGACCTCAAGAATGTCCCAGTTTGTTTATATAGGCTTCGGACATGTCAGCATTCCAGCAGCATTATCTGCCTGGGACCAGGCTAGCTAGAAGGAGGCAGGAAGAGAGATCTGGTAAGGTTTCCTGTTATGTTTAGCACGATTAACTCTTTTTGGATTAAGGGCTTCCTTGTTTTGTTGTCTGTGCTCTTCAGTGAAGAAGGAAAGGGGTCTGGAGAAGAAGGAAACCAAATTTTGCTGTAGAGCTGGAAATCGAATAATTAGCCCTACATGTGGGAGGTGGAGACAGACTGTCAATGGCTTAATAACTAGAATGGTAAACAGCCCTGCAAAGCATGGGTGGTTGAAATTCACTTAGTGAGAATCCTCAAACTCATCAAGTCTTCATCAAAGTTATAAAAATGGAATTGAAGTAGACTGTTTGGTCTTTGAGTTCTAATTTTTTCTTTTGACACTTTCTGGTGAAGGTAGTTGTGGGGTAACGAAAATTGACTTTGGTTAACAGATAGCAAAAAGAGAGAAAAATACATGGTAGGTGTCTGGTCATCTATAAAATGGAGAGTCAGCCCTGAATGATGGCATTGGCTATTTTGCAAGAATGATCAGTGGGTGGATAAAAAACATTGTGTGAACATTTATTCCATCAGCTTCATAGTCAAACATTTGCCCTTTTATTGTGTTTTTAATGGCTGGAGGTATGTGAAAAAAATGAGTGGTGGGTAAAAGGGAATAGCCCCATGCCATAAAAGGAAATCATGTGAAAATGGAAGGGCTAGATATGGTGTGCTCTCCCCTCCCCCCATTTCCTCTGATTTATATAGCTACAATCCAGAGATGTTAGAATTGGCCAAACAGAATATAAATAGGTGTCCTTTCTATAAGAATGGAAATGAGCAAAAGGCAAAATAGGGATTCAGCGTCCTAGTCTTTGCAACTGAAATGCTGGTAAGGGGAAGTGGAAAGGAGAGGAAGACGGGGCAGAGGATCTGTGTGAAGGGTTGTGAACCAGAGGATAAAGCCTCTGGAGCTATTTCATCACCGTAATTAAATCTTCCACAAAGGACTAGTGATTTTGGTACATAGTTCTCCTGGAGTACATTTTTTATTAGGTTAGAATGATGCACAAAATGGATGGGCTTTTGTGGGGGGGGAGGTAGGCGGGGGGACCCGAGGTTTTTGACTTGACCAGCGGTGTGGATGGAGGTGCCGTTCGCTGTGCTGAGGAATGTGGGAAAGTGTGGGTTTGGGGGCAAGATGAAGTGTTTGATTTTAGACGCATTTAGTTAGAAGAGCACCTGGAGACATCTAGTAGGCAGTCGGATGGATCCGTCTGATGCTCAGGTGAAGGACCGGGTTGGAAGTAGACATTTGTGAGTCATCATCATCAGGTGGATGGCAAGTGAAACAGAGGAAAAGCTGTGATTTTCCAGGGAGACCATTGAGAGAAAAAGGAGAAGATGGAAAGATTGGCCAGCACTCTGCAACAGGAAGTCAGAGGCGGCCCGAGTGTAAGAGAACAATAGAGTTTTTTGGCTATATTGAATCCAGGGCAGAAAGCATTCCTCACTTGAAATGGAGAGATGAAGGGCCTGACTGGCATGGCTCTGTGGTAGATCATCAACTGATGAACCAGGAGGTCACGGTTAGATTCCAATCAGGGCACATGCCCAGGTTGCAGGCTCAATCTCCAGTAGGGGGCGTGCAGGAGGCAACCAATCAGTGATTCTCTCTCATCATTGATGATTCTCTCTCTCTCTCCCTCTCCCTCTCCCTTCCTCTCTCAAATCAATAAAAATATATATATTTTTTAAAAAGGAGAGACAGTCTGTCTTCCATAATCTTGGAGCATCAGAATCAAACCAGAGGCTAAAAGGGAAATTAATAGAAAGCAGAACATGCTTGGACAATGGCTGGGGAGGAGGTGCTGAGAAGCAAATTAGGAACTGGGGAGCCAGAAAGGAGCAATTGCTGTGAGCTGCTTTTCCTCCCCTTGGGGCTTAGAGGGTGCTGGGGGAGTATCTTGATTCCCCCAACACATGCCTCAGTGTCAGGAGACTGAAAGACCAGGCCCCGGACTGACAGGCATCATGGCCCTCATTGGAGGGGCCGGGTCCCTCCCTGACTGGGTATGAGCTCAGTGGCAGAGCGGTTGCCATGGAACCAGGTGAGGGTAAAGTTCTCTTGTTTTTTTCCCCCTTGTCTTTTAAAAATGTCAGGCATGCTATTTTTTTTTAAAATATATTTTATTTTTTACAGAGAGGAAGGAGAGGGATAGAGAGTTAGAAACATCAATGAGAGAGAAACATCAATCAGCTGCCTCCTGCACACCTCCTACTGGGGATGTGCTCGAAACCAAGGTACATGCCCTTGACCAGAATCGAACCTGGGACCCTCTACCAACTGAGCCAAACTGGTTAGGGCAGGCACGGTATTTCTTATTTGTTGTTTCTTTTTTTTTTTTTTACACTTAAATTTTTTTATTTATTTTTATTTTTTTAAATTAAATCCTTATTGTTCAGATTATTACATTTGTTCCTCTTTTTTCCCCCCATAACTCCCCTCCTCCCAGTTCCCGCCCCACCCTCCGCCCTCACTCCCCACCCACTGTCCTCATCCATAGGTGCACGATTTTTGTCCAGTCTCTTCCTGAATCCCCCACACCCCTTTCCCCCCCAAGAATAGTCAGTCCATTCCCTTTCTATGTCCCTGATTCTATTATGATCACCAGATTATTTATTCACTTGATTCTTAGATTCACTTGTTGATAGATGCATGTTTGTTGTTCGTAATTTGTATCTTTACCTTTTTCTTCTTCTTCCTCTTCTTAAAGGATACCTTTCAGCATTTCATATAATCCTGGTTTGGTGGTGATGAACTCCTTTAGCTTTTCCTTATCTGTGAAACTCTTTATCTGACCTTCAATTCTGAATGATAGCTTTGCTGGATAAAGTAATCTTGGTTGTAGGTTCTTGGTATTCATCACTTTGAATATTTCTTGCCATTCCCTTCTGGCCTGCAAAGTTTCTGTTGAGAAATCAGCTGACAGTCGTATGGGTATTCCCTTGTAGGTAACTGAGTTTCTTTCTCTTGCTGCTTTTAAGATTCTCTCTTTGTCTTTTGCTCTTGGCATTTTAATTATAATGTGTCTTGGTGTGGTCCTCTTTGGATTCCTTTTGTTTGGGGTTCTCTGCGCTTCCTGGACCTGTAAGTCTATTTCTCTCACAAGGTGGGGGAAGTTTTCTGTCGTTATTTCTTCAAATAGGTTTTCAATATCTTGCTCTCTCTCATCTTCTGGCACCCCTATAATTCTGATGTTGGTACGCTTGAAGCTGTCCCAGAGGCTCCTTACACTATCTTCATATTTTCGGATTCTTTTTTCATTTTGCTTTTCCAGTTGGGTGTTTTTTGCTTCTTCGCATTTCGAATCTTTGACTTGATTCTTGTGCTCCTCTGGTCTGCTGTTGGGTGTCTGTATAATATTCTTTATTTCAGTCAGTGTATGCTTAATTTCTAGTTGGTTCTTTATCACAACATCGAGGGTCTCATTAGATTTCTTGAGAATCTCACTACATTTATCAGCGGCTTCTAGACAGTTCTTGAGAGACCTTAAAAGTGTGGTTCTGAACTCTATATCCTCCATGGACAATTTTGTCCTGTTTCTTTGTCTCCGCATTTTTTATGCTTTCTTGGTGCACCCCCTAGTGGTCTTTGTGCACAGTCTTGTTGTAGTTAAGCCTTGATTGTTGTCGGCAATAGTGGGGGTGATTTGACCTCCAGCCTAACTGGCTATGAGAGTCAGCTGTGTCTGCAGTGGGAGAGCTTCTGTGCTGGATCTCTAGGGCGGTGCTAATCTAGCATTTGTCTGAGGCTATTTGGCAAATAGCTCTGTGCAGGGCTTGGGCGGGGCGGGTCCCTGGGGATCTACAGGGTGGGCGGAGCAAGCAGTTATGGCTGCTCTCAGTTCCGTCCCTAGGGGCTCTGCCTCACAGAGTCCCAGCAACCATTGCAAACCTCGGAGAGAAAGCTGCCTTCGATTTCCGACCGAAGCCAGACAGTCTCGCTTCTCCCGTTTGAGTCTGGGTCCCTAGAGACTCGCCCGGATCTGGAGCTCAGAGTCTGAAACTCCCTCCCGTTTGAAAACAACAACCTCGCCCTCCGCCGCCAGCCTGCTCTGCACGCACTCTGCACCTCAGTATTTCACTTCAGCACTGCGCCTCCTCTGAGTCTGGGTATGATATTCTCTTTCCTCCTAGTTGTAGAATTTCCACTCAGCCAGCCTTCCTGTGGTTCTGGATGATGTCCGTTCCATCTTTAGTTGTTTTTTGAAGTGGTTGTTCGAGGCAGCAATCTCCGGCGTTGACCTATGCCGCCATCTTGGTTTTCCTGTTGTTTCTTATATGACAGTGAAACAGTTATATCTTACTTTTATGTGCTGGTCCTTCACAGATATTAGCTCACTCGTTTACCACAATAGCTCTCTGATTTAGATACCATTTTTGTCCTTGATTTATCTATGAGGAAACTAAGACACAGGGAGCTTTAGTAACTTGCCCAAAGTCACACAGCTAGTAAGTTGTAGAGTAGACTGTGGTCTGAGGTGGTCTAGCTTGAATCTATGCTTCTAACGGCCATCCTATATAACGATCCTGGAATAAAGATGAGGATTACTATTGTTATATAATGCCTGCCTATATGTTAAAATTGAAAAACAGAAGACTTATCACTTGCTCATCCTTTTCATTGGAATTTTGCTTGCCATGATTGAGAACTTTATTCCTACTACTGAGGCACATTCCACTTTTTTTTCTTTTTAACCTCTAGAGACTTGTCTGCTTAAAATGAACCAAGGGTTTGTGATAAGTTTCCAAGGAAAAGTGTCATCAAAAGGCTTTTCTGACAGTTTTGGTTTGAGTCATAAATTTGTTTGGTGTCTTTGTTTTATTTTTACTTTAGTTTTTTGTTTGTTTGTTTTTCACTTAAGGTGTCTGCTGTCATCTTCATTTTGAAAGATATATAGTTCCCTTCCAGGGATTTCAGTTAATTTATAGCCCTGGGGCTTAGTGTTGGAAGGTTTTTATGTTTCTGAAAGCTTAAATCACTCCTTAGCACCGTAGTAAGTTGGGGATAACCAGCCTGTTGTATTCCCAGGAGGCCGGTCTCGCTGCTGCTGACCGGCCTCTCCTGGGCAGCGGGTCCCCTGAGGCCCAGAGGAGCTCACGGCTTATTCACAGTGACCTGTGTGCCACCTGATGTGCTTTTAATGGCTGTGTTTACGGTCAGTTCATCGAATCACACAGAATCCCCCCAAAAAAGATTTGAATTACAACTTGGGGAGCAGAGGGTTATAAAATGTGTCTTCAAATCGTAACATTTAGAGTTGGAAAGAACCTAGAAGATCACAGTGGTCCAGGCATTTCAGTTTATAGCTGGAACCCTGGAATGTGCCCAGGGCTTTATGAGCGCACAGAGAACCCCTAACCTTTGGAGGCACAGCCAGCGGCCCAGGCCGGGGCTCCCAATAGGAGGCGTGCCATGTCCGGAAATTACAGACCAGTTTTATTTTGTGCACCAGTGTCAGTCAGTTGGTGCGCGCTGTCAGAATCACTTTGTTGGGACAGATTTGGAGGCTCAGTTTTGCCCCAAGAGGAAAGAATGCCGCCACCTCTTAGCAATATCTTCAGGGGTCCCACGGGGGAATTGACCGCATGCGACACTTGTTTATTGGCTGTTTTAGAGGATGCCTGTTAGGCGGGACGAGGATAGGATAGGAAGGAGACCGTCCCAGGTAGAAGAGCTAGTGTGAGCAAAGGCGTGGAGGCAGAGCTTGGTGTGCGAGGCTGGGCCAGAAACAGTGAGCCGGGTGGTATGGGACTGAAGACAGAAGGCCCCGGATGCAGGGAATCGGGCTTTAGCTCTCGGGGCCGGGGGGGGGGGGGGGGGGGGCGGGGGGGGAGGGGAGGGGGTTGACATTCCTGAAGCCTTGCACCACGCTGAACTGCCGGAGAGCCTTGACTAGAAGCACGCTGATTGAAAATGTGCTTTAGAAAACGTTCTTCTGCATTCCAGCTACAAGCCCATCGTGGAATATATCGATGCCCAGTTTGAGGCCTACTTACAAGAGGAATTGAAGATCAAGCGGTCTCTCTTCAACTACCATGACACCAGGATCCACGCGTGCCTCTACTTCATCGCCCCGACTGGGCACTCCCTGAAGTCCCTGGACCTGGTCACCATGAAGAAACTGGACAGTAAGGTACTCACCGCCCGTCTGCTGTCCCCCCCTCTCCTGTCAGCTCACCTTTGTTCCAAAGCCCCCATGCATTCTCTGCTTTCAGTGTACATTTTGTTTTGTTTTGTTGTAAAAACATTTTTTAAAAACAGTTATGGGTTCACAGCAAAACTAAGAGGGAGGTACAGAGATTTCCCACATACCCTCCCCCCCATGCATAGTCTCCCCCATTACCAGCATCCCCCTTCAGAGTGGTACATTTGTTACAATTGATTAACTGCGTCGATACATCATAATCCCCCAAAGTCCATAGCTGACATTAAACTTCCCTCTTGGTGTACACTCTGTGGGTTTGAACAAATGTGTAGTGACATGTATCCATCATTATAGTATCAGGCACAGTAGTTTTATTGCCCCGAAAACCCCATGCTCTGCCTGTTCGTCCCCCAACCCCATAATTTGTGTTTTCTGGTTTATCGAACCATAGGGTTGAGCAATGTGAGAAAAATGCTTCAAAACTTCTCTGGATGTTAGGAGAAAACAAAAAAACAAAGCCATGTAGCTTTGTTACAAAGCATTTTTAGTTCTTTTTAAATAGTTTATTGATTTTTTTTAGAGAGAGGGGGTGAGAAAGAGAAACATCAATGAGAGAGAAACATCCATCAGTTGGCTGCCTCCTGCAAGCCCCCTCCTGGGCATTGAGCCTGCAACCTGGGCATGTGTCCTGACCAGGAGTCGAACCGGCAACCTCCCGGTACACAGGACAACACCCAACCAACTGAGCCACACTGGCCAGGGCTATTTTTATTCTTAAATTAGCATAGTGTATGGTCTGGTGAGTTGGGAAATTACTTAGTGGAGACAGGGAAATGGTCATATGAGGGGTTAAATTTAGGGAGATTGAAACATAAACCTATGATTTCTTTATTTCCTTAAAAACTTTCACTAAATCTCTTAAAAGGTTTGGCTTTAATTTGAAGTTTAGAATGAAAAAAGTTGATTTTTTTATCTGTGTGATAACAGTCCATCGTAGATGTTGAAGCTGACTGCACCCATGAGTTGAAAAGAAGTGAAGTCCTAGTTGCAGTTTGATCCCTGAGCTTTCCACATTGATAACCTCTCTCTCTCACAACATTTGAAGGAAGGAGCTGATCTGCATTTCAGTTCATTTAATTTTCCATTTTGGGATAAATGGAAGGTAATAGATTTCTGAAATAAATCAGCAGCAGACGAGAACAACCACAGAACGAAGCTATGGTATTCTCTCCTTTTGAGTTCAATACAAAGTCTTATCAAACTGAAATTAAGACTGTGATAATTTCAGAAAAGATTTGCAAGTCCCTGGGAATGAGGAAAAAGAGACCTTAAGTCTAAATCGCCTGGTTTGCATATCTGATCAAACTGGCCTAAAAACAGTGGCCCTCTGCCATTTTGTCTGTGTGGATATTAACTGAACAGTCAATGTGTACAGAAGATAGCCCGTGTGAGCAGCCAGAGTTTCTGTTCCTTAGGTCCCGATCCCAGTGTCCCACCGTTTCTCTCTCCGCCGCCCCCCCCCCCCCCCCCCCCCCCCCCCCCCCCGTCAGTGATGTGTTTTTGTGTTTAGTCTGCCACTTGCTGGAGAGGAAGCCCAAGTGGGATGAGATTGGGAGCTGGTTGAGGAGTAGGTTTTTCTACCAACATGTCATCTCATTCTGGTTTATCAAGGATTTCTGATTTGGCTCTTGGGATAAAAGGAGAATCAAAGGAATGCAGACGGGACCTGGAAGCCTCCCTAGAGACTCTCCTCTGGCCAGGACGGCTTTCTCACGGAGTCCGTCCCTTTTCACCTGAGCTGGGTGGAGAGCAGGGTCCCAGGTATCGGATGGCAGCATCATCTTATTGAAGCCTCGGTACCGACCAGGGAGTGGAGGAAAGTTAATCTTAAAAGTGAATTTTTAAGAATGTGTGCTGTGGACAGCGCTGACTGAAGCTGGGAGACGAATGTCCCACCTCAGGGTCGGGGCTTGCCCTGCAGGACACCTTGGCTCTTCGGGGCTTTCTGCTGCTGTTGTCCAACTCCCCTGGTCCAGGTAACCGATACTCTGAAAGCGAGCCCGGCCTCGGGCATAGGTCTCCTTCTGGCCTGAAGGAGTTGTGCGATCGATGGAAGCTAACTTTCAAAAGAACTGGCTGGTGTGATTTTGAAAAGTTTAAAAGTAGGTGAAACCATGTTTGTTTTGGTTAATAGTTACGTGCTCCCCTCAGGTTATCAGAAGGACAAAAGGATGTTTCCTGCATAGAGGTGAATATTCCACTGTTCTAACTAATGAAAACTCTGTTTTATACTGCAAACTACTGCCAGGAACGTGCAAAAATCAAGGTCCTAAGGAGCTGGGAGGGGCCTGAAAGGAGTGGCTGGTTATTCAAGGATAGGCGTCCTTGTTATCGCCTGTTCTCATAGAGCAGTGTCCTGCGGAAGCGTGAGGTAGCCCAGGAGAGGAAATGGCAACTGTGCTTCCAGCGCCAAGATGAAGAGAAAGTGTTCGCAGGTGGAACTAAAAGATTATCCCATGTCATCTTAATTTTGCACCTCCGTCAAAGGTCCTGTTGTCAATATCACCTCTATTCTCCAAGTGAAGTTTATACATTTTCACTTATCTGTTTGCTATTTTTATTCGTCTATTTTTCTCACGTTGGAATTGTGTCTGTTTTATAGGTGAACATCATCCCAATAATTGCAAAAGCTGACACCATCGCCAAGAACGAATTGCACAAATTCAAGAGTAAGATCATGAGTGAACTGGTCAGCAACGGAGTCCAGATATATCAGTTTCCCACAGATGAAGAAACGGTGGCAGAGATCAATGCGACCATGAGTGTAAGTCCTCAAGTGAGAAAGGACCAGGCAGTGAGTCTCCAGCAGGCTTTTCTTCGCATCAGCATTGCAGAGCGACTAGGGCACTAGACTGGGAACTTGATGTCTTCCGTGTGGCCTAGCTCTGCCACTAGTTCCAGTCATTTAGCCACTGTGCTACTCAGTTCTCCCATCTATCAAATGGGAGAGTTAAGCAAGGTGGTCTCACATTTCCTCCCCACTCTAACAGTTACGATTTCTACAGCAGAACTTGAAGGGAAGGCCAGCCCAGCGCCGTTTCACACAGAGCAGCTTAAGGGAAGCAGATCTCTGCTCGCTGTGCCAGGGTAGGCAGACACATGGCCACCTGCCTCGCTTCGCTTCTGAGATTGGTTCCTGCCTCTTCTCCCCTTTTTTTTTTCCCCACCCTTTCCTGAATCATTAGGTAAACCGGCAGTTGAGGGTGTAATTTCCACATCACAGGGAGAAATTGGTCAGGAGATTAGTGATTAAAGCTGCAGCAATCTAGGTGTGCCTGGGAAATCATCTCTCCTGGCGAGCCCCCATCCGGCCGAGATAGCCGCAGCGTCCCCCTGCTCTCTGTGTATCTGAGCCATGGCTCAGCTCTGAGCCACAGTGGCTGTGTGTATCTTTTTTCATCGGGAAATGGGTAACTTCTGTAAAAGCAGCATTCTTTGCATACACACTGTGGATGCCCAGTAATGGTCTTTAGAATTCTTAACATTGTAGATGACCTTCAGTGAAGTGTAATTAGCAGCTACCGAAGAGCCTGGCCTTACCCAAATGCATGCTAACATTTGATTTCGACATGTGCCTAGTGGCAGAGGAAGCCAGTCTAAATTTTCAAATTTGTGGGAGGTGAAAGTATGTCATGAAAAACTGTCTAATCCCATCATTTTTAAATGTACTAGTGGCACTTTTAAAAATTCACAGGCTTATTGAGATATGATTGATATACTATACAATTGTTTTTCTAGTATATTCACAGACTTGTGCAGCCAATGCCACAAACAATTTTAGAACATTTTCTTCACCTCAAAAAGAAACCATATACCTTTTAGCTGTTCATTCTCTAACCATCCCAGCCACAGGCAACCACTGATCCACTTTCTTGTCTCTACATTTGCCAATTCTGGACATTTTCTAGAATGGGAGTCGTGCTGAGGTCCATCTAGAGCAGTGGTTCTCAACCTTCCTAATGCTGCGACCCTTTAATACCGTTCCTCATGTCGTGGTGACCCCCAACCATAAAATTATTTTCGTTGCTACTTCATAACTGTAATTTTGCTACTGTTATGAATCGTAATGTAAATATCTGATACGCAAGATGTATTTTCATTGTTACAAATTGAACATAATTAAAGCATAGTGATTAATCACAAAAACAATATGTACTTATATATGTGTTTTCCGATGGTCTTAGGCAACCCCTGTGAAAGGGTCATTCGACCCACAGGTTGAGAACCGCTGATCTAGAGGATTCAATGACTTGGTCAAAGCCAGGCCGTTAGTAGCAGCCCTGAGATTTCAACCCAGACCCCGAACCCTAGCCCTGTGTTACGTTTGGCCTCCTTCTTTGGGAGATCAGGTTACTCCACAAAACTGCCTCTTGTTTCTTTGGCTCGGCATGCGGACTTTTCTGTAGAGGGCTGTTTCATTTAGGCAAGATTTCTTCCTTACAGTAATCCCACTATGACTAGGACTTTGGAAGCAAATGTACCTTTCTTCCTCTCTGGGGCTCTTACTGTATGAATTTAAAATTTAGGGATCTCATCAACGCAGAGCTCCACGCTGCCCTGTTCTGGCCACACGCGGAGTTGTCGCCCTGGCTGTCGTCCTCCTGTGGCCAGGACAGTAAGGTGCTGGAAGAGCCTGGAGTGCAGATCCTTCCTGGGAAGCAGGCCCAGGGGGTGTGAAAGGAAGGTCGCCATTGGGAGAATGACTGGACTCATTCAAAAGACAGAACCAGAACTGATGGGCCAAAGAGCAGAGAGGGGTTTGGGCCCATATGGAGTTTGACTGTTGGCACCACCGCAACACAGCCAACACCTGATCGAAGTGGTGAGTTCCCCTCACGAGTGGTGGGTGAACAGCAGATTCCACTTCAACTCACGGAGAAGAGATAACTTGGAGGGATTCCTGTCCCGGGTCAAACTGAACAATACGTAAGGTCTCTTCTGTATGTCACGTTGTATTGAGAACTTCATGGTATTAGTAGCACCTGGCATTTTTGACATTTAGGGAGCATTTACTATGTACCAGCTACTGTTTGAGCCTTTCCATTTAATCTTTACAACAATCCCCCGGGGGGTACTATTATTTCTACCTCACATCCTGAAGACGGCAGCCATGCACCTAAGGTTGCACAGCCGTCTGTGGTGGAGGCAGGAGCTTCGCTCTGGAGCCGACATCCTCGCCCTTTACGATACCCACCACCGAGCAGAGCAGTGTGCTGTTCATGCCACTGTCTAGGACTCGGGTTGTGATGCCACGTGTGTACTCCCCATGGAACTGCGATTCGGGTGTCCGTGTGGGATTCAGGAAGGAACATCTAATTCTCTCTGTCTATCCCTCCCCATTCTTTCCAGTCGTCTTGCACGGTCAGGAAACTAAATTTGTGTTCACTTCCTTGGAAAGGAAACACCCATGAACGTTCCGCTCTCTTTCTCCCTTTATCAGGTGAATAGCCATTCCCAAATTCATCTTGCTCTTTAGCAGGCATTTTCCTTTCGGTCTTCATTGCCAACCACCCCTGGTGATGAAATGCCGTGTGAAATGTGGGAGGGGCTCCCTTGGCAGGTGCCCGGTCACTCTGCTTGCGTGGGAGAAGCATTTTCCGTGGTCGTTAACACCAAACTGTGGCCAGAAGGGTCCTGGTGCTCCTGAGCTTCGGAGAGCACATTTGAGTTCCAGACTTGGAGTCTGAGAAAGAGACGTGCTTTCCTCCTTCCTGTGCAGGCTGAGACAGATGGGAGAGTGTAACTATCTTGAGCAGCAGAAAACAAACACCACTTGGGCAGCCTGGGTGGAGGGTTACGCCAGGTTCTCTGTGGGAGAGGACTTGGCTTTAAAACATTCCTCCTTGCTCCACTTATCTGCAGTGGAAGGACCCTGGGTCAGGGAACCCTCCATCATAATTCTCAGGGCAGCCATTTCAAATGTTCTTATTCTTATATGCTAATAGAAAAGAGAGAGAATTTCTGTCCATCCCCCCTACCACCCCCAATGCAGCCGTAGCTTCCAAATGAACCACGTGGAGCAGTCGGTTGTCTTGACCACCAACCGCTTGAGGTAAGTCCAGGTGCAAGGCCTGAGCCAGTAGTTTGGGAGAGCTACGCTGTGTTTCTGGCTTGAATTTTGTGCAGCAGTCAGCCACCTGAAGCAGTGCTGTGGAACAGAAATATGAGCCACACGAGTAATTTAACCCTTTCTAGTAGCCACATAAGAAAAAACTGAAAAGAAACATAAAATTAATTTTATAACTTATTTAACCCAATATACACAACATATGATCATTACAACATGTAATAAATATAAAGATTATTAATGAGGTTTTTTTCAAAGTCTGAAGTCCAATGTGTATGTTACATTCATAAGACATTCCAACTTGGATGCGTACCTAGTGACTCCTAATATACTTAAAAGTTTTTTAAATATAAAATAGATACCCAAAGGATCATTTTTCTTTAACACTTGCGTCCACATTGACAAAACTGGTTTTTTCTCTTTGTAGAAGATTTGAGTTTGCAGCAAAGTGAAATTCCGTTTCTTGATTCCACGAGCCCCATTTCAAATGTCCGAGGGCCACATAGATGAGCAGCTACTGTATTGGACAGCTTGTTCTAAAGCTTACTGTATAGTTGCAAAGACCCATACAGTGTCCCCATGGATCTAGCTCAGATCAAATATTCAGAATGGATGTGGACAGGTAGGATGCCCACACACTCACATGCACGCATGCGTGCGACTGCAGCGTTTCCCTCTTCTACCTCCCGGCTGAGCAGGGGCCTGAAGCAGCAGGGAGAGTATAGAGGCAGGTGGAAAACCAGCCTTCACCAGAGCTGGGGAGGATGACTGCAGCAGGTCCTTAAATAACAGCACTTTGTTCACCGTCCTTTCGTATAAGTTTGATGAGTGAAGGAAAAACTGTCTCCTGACCAGGCCCACTGTCTGTGTGGAGTTGTCGTGTTCTCCCCACATCTGCGTGGGTTTTCTCTGGATACTCTGGTTTCCCCCACTTCCCAGGGGTGTGGGTGTTGGGTGAACCGTGTGTATCTAATTGTCCCGGTCCGAGTGTGGGTGCGGGTGCGCCCTGTGGTGGAAGGTGGGCGTCCTGTGCAGGGAGGGTCCCCCCTGGTGCTCTGAGCTTCCGGGAGAGGCCCTGGCCACCCTGGACCATGAACTGGAATCCGCAGGTTGGGAAATAATGATCTTACTTGTTTTTATTAATCTTTCTTCACTGTATGTGTAGCTCACATGCATTTCCATGTGTAGAAGTATTTGGGTCTTTGTAATTTCAGTGATGTTTTTGCGACCAGAAATATGCCATAGGAACTTAACTCTTATTGATGTCAATGAAACTCGAGTAAAACGATCTCATTTTATGGTCGTTTCACTTAAAGTTGCCGTTTCTAAGAACTTGTTGACGACGTTCAGTGCGGACTCATTGTACCCTCCATCCTTGTGTCGTTGGCAGGTCCACCTGCCATTTGCCGTGGTCGGCAGCACTGAAGAGGTGAAGATTGGCAACAAGATGGCCAAGGCCAGGCAGTACCCGTGGGGCGTGGTGCAGGGTATGTGTGCAACAGGGAAGGGATTCTTCACGTTCAACCCCTGTGGTGACTGACCACGTTTCTCCCTCCCCACCGTGTTTGAGGAGCTCCTTAATCGTGGGCAGGTGGAAGGGAGTGGCAGGGTTGTACACCTGGCAGTCGTGGAGGTGAGAAAGAAACAGCGACCAGGTAGGACGATGGTGACAGTGGAGAGAAGAGGCTGCAAAGCCCTAGTGCCAATGAGGCAGCCCCTAAAAAATGGCTTGTGGGAAATTCAGTATAAATTCCTGTTAGGAGAGTTCTTCCCTAGGGGTCTGAACCATTTTCATCACTAAAGCATAAGAAAGCTGCAAAGAGTTTCTTGCAAACAAGAGAATGCTTATCTTTCCATACCTGTTCATCTCTGGGAACATTGTCCTCCAATTAAATGTTATTTCAGGCCCAGCCGCCATGGCTCAGTGGTTGAATCTTGACTATGAACCTAAAGGTCATGATTCGAGTCCCTGTCAGAGCCCAATCCCCCGTGTGGGGCGTAGAGGAGGCAGCTGATCAGTGATTCTGTCTCATCATTGATGTTTCTATCTCTCTCTCCCTCCCCTTCTTCTCTGAAATCAATAACATTTATTTTGAAAAATAACAAATGTGATCTCAGTAAATATCTGAGAATTAAGAGAATGTCTGACCTATTTTTGGTGCTGGGAGACATGACCACAGTCTCTAACCTGAAGAAGCTTCCCAGACACCAGCTTGATGGGCAAGGACTCTGTCACCTGCCCTTGCCGTGTGTTCTGAGCAGGGCGTCCAACGCTGTAAATTAGCACGATGGCTCCAGAAAGGTCCTTCATTGGTTTGAGATCTGTGAGTCCTATGTTTCCTTTGTTCAGAATAAAGGCAATAAGTCTGTGAAAAGTAACAATGCCTTTGAGATCCTAGGAAAATTACGGTTTTTATGAATCTTACCAATTTCTCTACCATGAGAAAATTTTCTTCGTAGTGTTGTTGATAAATTAAAAGGAGGTAGTATATTAAAAATCCTTGCCGTAACCGGTTTGGCTCAGTGGCTAGAGCGTCGGCCTGCAGACTGAAAGGTCCCAGGTTCGATTCTGGTCAAGGGCATGTACCTTGGTTGTGGGCACATCCCCAGTGTGGGGTGTGCAGGAGGCAGCTGATCGATGTTTCTCTCTCATCGATGTTTCTAGCTCTCTGTCCCTCTCCCTTTCTCTCTGTAAAAAAAATCAATAAAAACATATTAAAAAAAAAAAAAGTCCTTGTGCAGCTCCAGACAGCATGGAGAAATAGGCCTGTCTTTTTCTTTTATTATATATATGAGGCCCGGTGCACAAAAATTTGTGCACTTGGGGGGGAGAGGGGTCCCTCAGCCCGGCCTGTGCCCTCTCGCAGTCTGGGACCCCTCGGGAGATAACGACCTGCTGGCTTAGGCCTGCTCCCGGGTGGCAGAGGGCAGGCCCAATCCCTAGGTGCAGCCCCTGGTCGGGCTCAGAGCAGGGCTGATTGGGGAGTTGGGGCACCGCCCCCTGTCATGCACAGAGCAGGGCAGATTGGGAGGTTGCGATGCCACCCTCAGTCATGCTCAGGGTAGGGCCGATTGGGGGGTTGGGGCACCACCCCCTGTCACACTCAAGGCAGGGTCGATGGGGAGGTTGCGGCGCCACCCCGTCACGCACAGAGCAGGGCCAATAGGGGTTGGGGCGCTGCCCCCTGTCATGCACAGAGCAAGGCCGATCAGGGGGTTGGGGAGCTCCCCCCTGTCACGCACAGAGCAGGGTCAATCAGGGGTTTGGGGCGCCGCCACTCTCACACTCAGGGCAGGGCTGATGAGGAGGTTATGGCTCTACCCCGTCACACACAGAGCAGGGCCCGTGGGGTGGGGGGGTTGGGGCGCTGCACCCTGTCACACACAGAGCCGCAGGGCGATCAGGGGTTTGGGGCGCCTTCCCCTGTCAGGAACAGAGCAGGGCCGATAGGGAGGTTGTGGTCCCGCCCCCTGTCACACACAGAGCCGCAGGGCGATCAAGGGGTTTGGGCGCTGCCCCCTGTCATGCTGATCCCGGTGGTGGGAGATCTCGCGGCTCCGCTGATCCCGGTGCTGGGAGGCATATTACCCTTTTACTATATAGAATAGAGGCCTGGTGCATGGGTGGGGCCGGCTGGTTTGCCCTGAAGGGTGTCCCGGATCAGGGTGGGGGTCCCCACTGGGGTACCTGGCCAGCCTGGATGAGGGGATGATGGCTGTTTGCAGCTGGTCACACACCCTTCAGGGTGGGGGTCCCCACTGGGGTGCCTGGCCAGTCTGGGTGAGGGGCTGAGGGCTGTTTTCAGGCTGGGACTGAAGCTCCCAACTGCTCCTTTTTTTCTTTTTCTTTTTTTTTTTATTCTGAGCCAGCTTTAGCTCTGAGGCTCCAGCTATTAGGCCTCCGCTCCTGAAAGCAGGTATCTGGTTTGTTTAGGTTCTACAATCGAAACTCTGTATCAACTCCAGCTCTGAGATCCCGGCTAGCTGAAAGCTGGTTTCTGGGGTTTTGTTTAGCTTCTATGTTTATAACTATGTTTCAAACTGCCAGCTCAGAGGCCGGCAAGGCAGGCGGGAACGTTGGTTTCCTCTGTCACTGAAGCAGGCAAGCCTCATGTTAGTTTCCAGCTGCCTGGCTGCCGGCCGCCATCTTGGCTGGCAGTTAATTTGCATATCTCGCTGATTAGCCAATGGGAAGGGTAGCGGTCGTACACCAATTACCATGTTTCTCTTTTATTAGATAGGACTAGAGGCCTGGTGCATGAATTCATGCATGGGTGGGGTTCCTCGACCTGGCAAGTGATCGGGGCTAGCGGGCAGGTGGATTGCAGAAGGTTGGTCGGCTGTGGGAGCTTGGCTGTGGGAGCACACTGACCACCAGGGGGCAGCTTCTGCATTGAGCATCTGCCCCCTAGTGGTCAGTGCGCGTCATAGCAACTGGTCATTCAGTCACTTAGGCATATATATATACACATACATTTTTTTAAATTGATTTCAGAGAGGAAGGGAAAGAGATAGAAATATCATTAATGATAGAGAATCATTGATCTGTTGCCTCCTGCACACCCTCTGCTGAGGATCGAGCCCGCAAACCAGGATGTGCCCTGACCAGGAATTGAACCATGATCTCCATGGTTTGTATGTGGACCACTGAGCCACACCTGCCGGGCTAGGCCTGTCTTTGACGCCAGACATCATGGTGTTTGAACATAGACTCTGCTTCCTCTGTGTGAGCTAATCCATGCTTCTGTGTCTACAAAGCAGGAGTCATTATGAAGAGTAAAGACAGTATTTGTCTGTCTCCTCCCACAGTGCCCTGCACTGGGCAGGCACGCGGCAGTCACTCCTGTCGTCAATATTCTGGTCAAAGTCAGAAACGTTGTCTTCATTGGGAAAGTGAGGTGGATCCAGTAGAGGATCATCCGGTGGCTTTGGGAGATTTCAGGAGCAGTGGTGACAATATCTTGGAAACATTCCCCCTGATTATCAGTGACTGACAGCAGCCCCACCCTCCACTTCCCCTCCCCCATCTCTTGCAGTGGAGAATGAAAACCATTGTGATTTTGTGAAACTGCGGGAGATGCTGATCCGCGTGAACATGGAAGACTTGCGAGAACAGACTCACACCCGCCACTACGAGTTGTATCGGCGTTGTAAGCTCGAGGAGATGGGGTTCAAGGACACTGACCCTGACAGCAAGCCCTTCAGGTATGCGGCCACCTGGCAGTCAGGTGTTCCAGGACAGGGGGAAGGTGGAGTGTTGTGAGTCAGAAGTGCTTGTTGGGTGTTGGGTTGAACTGTCAGAGGAAAGCACCTGGGAGGGCAGGAGATCTCATGTTGCCAGGCACTGTGGCAACCACTCTATCTGGATTGTCTACCGTCGGTGTCGTTGCTGTCACTGTCATCATCCTCATTTTACAAAGGAGGAAACTAAGGCACTGAGGTGTAAACAACCAGCCGAGGTCCTACAAGTAGGAAGTGACTGGGGCAGGGGGAGAGGTTTTGAACCCGTGCCCTTAATCGTTACACTCACAGAGGCACAGAGCCTGGCCTAGGCATTTACAAAGGCGCAGCTGCGCCCTACAGTTTGCCTCATTCATTTTTGCCAAATCGGTTTGACTTCCCAAGCTTGCTCTTTCAGAAGTGCTCTATTAGCTTCCAGTGGTTTGATGCAATTCTGACAACAAATGAGTAGGAAAGGGGATAACTTACAGAAAACTGCTTACAGTCCACATCTTTGATGGATGGAGATGAAGAGGCAAAATGTGAAGGGGGAAATATGGAAATTAACGCATAATTAGTGGCTTAGCAAAGGTCCACGCCTTGTCAGAGCCACATATGGGAAGGGGCGTCCTGGGGAGGGTGCCGGGCCTGGTGAAGTGTCAGTGGAAGGGGGGCTCCCACGCCAGGATCGCAGGAAAGGATTGCTCTGTCCAAACCGAGCCCTCGCAGTTTCTTCATGTAGCTGTGCAGTGTATCGGCTCGGTGTCTCTACCGACGGGGGAGAAGGAGGGTGTGGTACGGGTCCTCAGAAAAGACTATCTTCCTCCTCTTTTGTGGCCACTATAACTCATACTCTGATACCTGGGAGCAAGCGGGCCATAGTGCCTGAGGCAGCCTGTGTGCGGGTGGCAGGCTCCAGGCCCCCAGATCTGAGCTGCCCTGGGGCGGTAGGGGTTTTGGGATTTGCTGTAGAGGTAGTTTGGTAAAGTCTGGGCTGGTCTCCTAGTACAGTGCTACTGTGGTGCTGTGAGGTGTGTAAGAACATTGATAATAACAAATGGAGACCCCAACCAAAAGCTTCTAACCAAGAGGTTAACCTCTGACCCAGTGTGCATCATTTAGTCCCATCCTGGGGGCTTGTAAAACTGGTCTTCTTCAACCACAGGTCACTTTCCGAGTCAAGATAGAGAATGCCTTTCTGTGAAAAGTTTCATTAAGCCTTGAATTGCATTGACCAAAACGTAGTCCCTACCAAATCAGGCCTACTCTGTGGGTTTTAAACCGGATGAAATGGTTTTTGGGTTGTTGTTGTGTTTGTTGTTTTTATGAATAGAGATGGAACAAAAAAATTTCACTAAAATCTAACTCATTTGGCCCTCTCCTTCATTCAGATCCAGGCAGTGCTGGTGAGCTAGGGCAGAGGCAGTAGTCTGGGTGTGGCCCTGCTACCACTCAATTCCTCAGCCTCTCTGGGCCTCAGTTTCCTCATTTGTAAATATCACTATTAATATTAGCCAACATTAGCATTGGTCAAATTTGCTTTAGTCTCATAAGATAATGTGAAAGCTAACCATACCTCTGGAATCTCAAACACAGGATTGCTGATTAACAGAGAGTGTTGATTCTCTTGAGGGCAGGGGAACTTACTTTAATCTACCAATAAAAGCATGTATTGTAGAAGTAGAAACAATCCTAATTCAGACATTTTCTAATTGTTTAGTCCTTTGTATACCTACATGGGTGTGTACTTGCACCACCTGGATGTCCCTTTGCTCCTTCTACAGGACAAGTGTGCATGCTGGGGTGCTCTGCGTGGTGCCTAGGGTCACCCATGGGTGCTAGCCAGTTTGGAGTCAGCACGTTGGATGAATGTGGCCCACAGGTTAAGGTGGATAATCCTGCAGGCCCGTGTTACTGTGACAACTCTTGTTCCCAGGAAACTAGAAGGGAGAAGTAGCAATAGCACCTTATAAAATGCCAGCAAATACTTCTCTGTATGGGTGTGGGTGTGGGATTTCTTAAGCTGTGTTACTGAAGGTAATGTTTCCATAAATATATTTGTTCTGACTTAGAGATCAAGCTGAGGCATGGCATTTGATTTAAAATATTGGGCTCTACGGCCTGCAGGATTATCAGGGGGGGGATGGGGTTTAAAATAAAAATAAGACTCCTCCCCGCTCTATTATGATTGGTAATACAACTTTAAAAGTAGCAATTCTGTGAAATACCTTTAGGTACCCTATTGGCTCTGTAGATGGTTCGCTGAGTCTGTTTTCTAAACTGGGGACAGGAGGGAAATGAGTGGGGGAGGGTAATATTTGTAAAGCACTGAGTGCTTTGCTCACTTTGCCGCCATTCATTCCCAGAATCATTTCCCTGGAAGGTAAGTCCTGCTGTGTCCACCCACATCTTATACAGTGAGGCTTAGAGGCTGTGCCCTTGTCTAGATTAGTCAGTACCTCGCTATGGCCAGAATCCAAGCCTTGATCTGTCTGGCCCTAGTACTCATGCATTTCTCTCCCTACACACACCACCTCTCTCTCCTAAAAGTCTTAATCATATCTTCGGGGTCTACCTGGTGTGCTGATCTGGAAGATGCCGCCCAGCCCAGCCCAGGCTTTCTGTGTGTGAATATGTGCGATTAGACTTGGCCAGCAGGAGACAGCCCGTTAGTGCTGCCCGGTGCTTATGGACTCATCCTTGTTCTTGATGCACTTGTCTTTCTGGTCACCGCAAAACTAGAGGGGAGATGGTGCTCTTTTCTGTGTCTTTGACATGGTAAATGGCAGCCTTATCTAATTTTTGGAAGATGGTGGGTAGAAATTCTATGAACTGAAGTTTCTTATGCAATTTTATGACACTGTCCTTGTTTGTGACTTTTGAATAGTCTTCAGGAGACATACGAAGCAAAAAGGAATGAATTTCTGGGAGAACTTCAGAAGAAAGAAGAAGAAATGAGACAGATGTTTGTTATGAGAGTGAAGGAGAAAGAAGCTGAACTTAAAGAGGCAGAGAAAGAGGTAAGCCATCTACCTGTCCTTTTTCAAGGGAGAGAAATAAGCAAGGTATTTTATTAATACTTCACATTTTATGAGACTTCATGCTGTTCTGAGTACCTTCTACAAACCTTTTATCACTTGCATGGCATACTGTCCTAGCAAGAAAAGCAGATCAGATATTCTCATCCCCATTTTACAGATGATAAAACTGAGTTATAAAGGTTAAGCAATTTATGCAGTCATATACCTAGTTAATAGCAACGCTGAAACTAAAACTCAATCTTAGGTTTCCAGACCTGGTCCCATTTTCTTTGTACCTCTGTATTTCCTCAGTATACATGTCTTGAAATATGAGATTTGAGATTCTGTGGTTATTATTATTTTCATAGTCTGTCAGCCAATTCAGTTAGCTGAACAGTGGATGGCCCTTCGGCACTGATAGGTGATGGTCTCTGTATACCAAGTATGTCAAACTCGAGGCATGCAGCCCGCCAGCTGTGAGTTTGACATGCTTTCCACTGTACATCTGCTCACACTTCCCTCTTTGTGGTCATGCACGCTCTACTCCAACATCCTTGACTTGTCTTATTCCCCATGACCAGGCCAAATTAACTGCTTCCTAGAGGTTCCCATGGATTTCTGCTATAACACTCATCCCAAAGAGAGAGGGAGAGAGAGAGTGGTCACTCATCCTATTGAGAGAGAGAAAGAGACAGAAATATGTTTGCCCCCAGTGATAGATCATGAGTATCTTGAGCGCAATACATTTACAAATAAAACTGCTTAATTAATTTCCTCACCTGCTGGGGTCCAACCCCAGCAGGTCCAGGGGTCCCCAAAGGTGTGGACGGAGTCGGCGAAGAAGGAATGACAATGGAGACAGCGTTCAGTTGATCAGCAGCCTAGCCAGGATCTCTAGCCAAGTTCTGGTCAGGATCTCCAGTGAAGTTCTGGTTAGGATCTCCAGCCAGGTTCTGTGTCCATGTTCTCTTGCTAGGTTCTCCAGCCAGGTTCTCCAGGTTCTCCAGCCAGGTTCAGTCACCAGGTTCTAGTCAGGTTCTCTTGCCAATTTCTGTAGTCAGGTTCAGTCCAGGATCTTTTGCCATGTTCTCTCCAGCGAAGTTCTTCTGTCTTTAGGTTCTGTGTAGGTTCTATATTCTTAGTTCTGTGTTCTAAGCTCTGTATTCTAAGTTCTGAGTCTTGCTGTCTTGTTACATCTGTATTTATACCAGTTGATTCAATCCTATCAATCTCTATTACAAAGGTTAGGGCGTTTCTTATCTCCATTCCAGGGAGTAAAGATTATGTAGCTTAAGCATGATTGTTCGTAGTTAAAGTGATTAATTACCCGCCTGGCACTTAGTTGAGGGGTTTTATTCCCTCCCTAACTTCAGGGGAAAATCCCTACCTGGGGAAACAACCTTTCTCAGAGACCTTGGTTAAAACACATAGTGCCAAGAAGGTGAGCAAACATATTAAGAACAGTATGCCATATATGCCAGGTCCCTTGAAACAGCAAGCATGGACCGGCTCCCGGCACTCACCATCCCCTTTTAATTGATCCTGGTAAAGACAACTGAAACTTAGAGCCCTAGCTGGTTTGGCTCAGTGGATAGAGTGTCAGCATGCAGACTGGAGGATCCCAGGTTTGATCCCAGGCAAGGGCACATGCCCAGGTTGTGGGCTCGATCCCCAGTAGGGGGTGTGCAGGAGGCAGCCAATCAGTGATTCTCTCTGATCATTGATGTTTCTATCGCTCTCTTCCTCTGAAATCAATAAAAATATATTTTAAGAAAAGACAATTGAAACTTAGAGATTAAGAACTACTCTTACCACTAGGGTGAGTTTCTTATTAGGAGCATGGATATGCTTTTTACAATGAATATGTATTTTATTATCAGAAAACTAGAGGCCTGGTGCACAAAATGCATGCACTGGGGGAGGGGGTGTCCCTCATCCAGACCTGCGGCCTCTCACAGGCCAGGGCCCCTCAGGGGATGTCTGACTGCTGCTTAAGCCGGCAGTTGGACAACCCTCTCGCAGTCCGGGATCCCTTGCTCCTTATTGCCCACCTTCTCGTTGCTCCTTCGCACTGCCATGGAGGCGGGAGAGGCTCCCGCCACTGCCGCTGCACTCGACAGCTGTGAGCCTGGCTTGTGGCTGAGCAGTGCTCGCCTGTGGGTCTGTGGGAGCACACTGACCACCAGGGGGCAGCTCCTGCATTGAGCATCTACCCCCTGGTGGTCAGTGCACATTATAGCGACCGGTCATTTTGGTCGTTCTGCCGTAACAGTCACTTAGGCTTTTATTATATACAAATGTGCAAGGGTCCCCTTTAGCTCCGCAGGTCCAAGTGTCAAAGGAGAACAGGGCTCCACAAGGTGCTTTCCTGTCTCTGCATGGCTCTTCCCGGAGCACTGGCCACTGCTGCGCTTCTGCAGTTAGAGCACAGGCAGCAACGTGGCGCAGGCCTCGTTCTGAGCAGGTCCAAGTCACCTCACACCGGTCCCCTTGCTACTCCCTTCACCAAGCCTGTCCTGTCCTCTCCAGCTCCACGAGAAGTTTGACCTCCTGAAGCGGACACACCAAGAAGAGAAGAAGAAAGTGGAAGACAAGAAGAAGGAGCTGGAGGAGGAGGTGAACAACTTCCAGAAGAAGAAGGCGGCTGCCCAGCTGCTGCAGACCCAGGCCCAGCAGTCTGGGGCCCAGCAAACCAAGAAAGACAAGGATAAGAAAAAGTAAGCAGGTGTCCCCCGGTGCTGGGGCCTCTAACAGTTTATTCCTCTTGCATGTCTCTACTTCTCCCATTTCCAGACTGGAAACTGGTCTATTACCAGGAAGATCCACGCAAGTATTTTCTCTACAGTGCAGGGAAGAAGATACAGGTTTTTAAAGTATTTCTAAAGGGTGCACAACATTACTTTATGAGGCTTGACCACATGACCCCGCAGTCAGGACTGGGCTCACTTTTGTCTCCAGTCTCGTCTTCTGCACCAACACTAGGACTTTGGGGAAGACGGTTTATTTCTCTCACGACCCTTTGGAGACGGTCCTCGTGACTCCTGATAAAGAGCATCCTAAAGTTACGATGGTCACAGTTATTTTTCTAGTCTGCGTTGTTAGGCTTGATAAGCCGGTCATTGATCCCCAGATGAAAGATTTGGAAGAACTGCTAGTGGCCACTAGTTTTCCTCTAAATTCAACAAGATGGTTAGTTGTTTTCTTGGGGAAATGGGGTCACAATCCCATCCAGTTAAGCCCACCCGCAACAACCCTCAAGACACGCCTGTACCCACGCACAAAACAACGTTTTTAAACATGGCTGCGGTTTAATGAGCCAAAGGTCAGAGCCTGCTCTCATGTCGGTCACTTCCCGCGATGCTCCAGTGGCAGCTCCAGAATCCACCGGAGCTTGGGCCTTCCTTGTCATTCTCTGGTGATTTGAAGCTCATGTCAAATCCTTTAAAGACTAGACAGTGCAGTTTAAGGCATTGGCTGCCGGTTTGGCAGGAGGCTCAGGGTCAGTGAGATGCCTGGACAAGCTGTGTGGGGCCGGATGGCCACCCGGGGACACTGCCCTGCTTGGTGCGGGCAGTGCTCTTAGGGCAGCAAGAGGACAACTCGGAATGTGCTTGGGATTCCTGCTCTTCATCCCGAGACGCTAACGTTCTAGGGGGAAAGCTGACATGTAAACCATGAAAATGGTGGCACTTGAGCAGGCAGAGACCCTTTTTTTAAAATATAGAAGATAGGATTGAGTCTGCACAGGAATTGAGACCTGCCATAGGGACTGGTCACGTGTCTTGGTGAACAGACGCCCCCCCCCCCCCCCCCGCCCCCACTTGAGGAATCGTGTCACGAAGCCCGTGGTAGAAATCAAATGTGCTGCTCTGTGACCCACGGAGAGAGTTTTCCATTGTGCTCTGCAAACTGGACCAGCTCGCAGGCCGCAGAGAGTGCGTTGGGAGAGCAAAGGGCAGGCACGTTTTCTAAGCAATAGAGAGGCGTCAGTGTGGAGCAGGTGTGGTTCTAACGGGGTTGGTACAGATCCGAGTGATGAAAGGACTCCAAGGGCCAAAAACAGTTCTGCTAGGTGAGTTCTGGCTAGCGATGGCCTCGATCATAATCTAGTTCAGGAAAGCGCTTTGTAGCTACACACACCGCAGGGCGTCGCCCCTGGCGGTGACATTCCCGTGCAGAGCCAGTCCAGCAGCCGCTGCAGTGCAGACAAACGGAAAGCCATTTGACATCAGACCTTTGTGGATCCAAACTCACCCCAGACAGAAATAGGTATAGGGGTGTGTGTGTGTATGTGTGTATGTGTGTGTGTGTGTCTACATCTATAGGCTTGAATGAGACAGAAAAAGCTGGTGACTCACAGCTTAGGAAACCCAAAGTTAAGTCTTTCTTACCCTGAAGCACTAATGTATGTAAAGGTATATATTTTAGAACTAAAAATGTTTATAAAAGACCAGCAATGTTCTAAGGATATTTCACATATACTGGATGTGCCTTTAAGCAATAAAAATCCAAGAGCTGATCGGTATTGTGCCTCCATTAAAAAAAAAAAAAATCTATCTAGTAACAGACTTCCCAGCATAGGGAGGTTTTTCCTGTTGAGCATTTCAGGTTATTTTCTTCCCATCCGTGGACCTCAGCGATGTCTAATGCTCTCAAGTCATGTGAAGTATGTGTGAATTCTACTTTAGCCTTATGTATATATTCTCATTTATTATTCGTGTAATTAAGCTTAATTTGGTGCGCAGGTTTTGTGCCTGCCAATGGCATGTATTTTTCGGTAACTTCTAGGTTCCCACCCTCTTCCACACTTTACCATTTGAGCAGTGAAATCCACTGCCAGTTGGAGTCCTGAAGTGTAAAATTAAAACAAAAACAAAAGAAGCACCACTCCTCTGACTGCCAGCGGAGAGTTTTGGGGAGAGAGGACCACAGAAAGACAGTAGCCAGGGTACCCAGGGCAGCACTGAAGTGAATGGAAGACTCTCTTCCACGTGCAGCCGCGGGCGATGCTGGAGTCACTGTGCAGCCACCAGGAGCTGGCCTTGTTCTAGGGAGAGGACAACAAAGAGATGCTTATTTATTCACCTGCTATGTTCCCGCCTCAGAGCCTGACTCCGTGTTTCTAATAGTTCTAAATTCTGTTTCTTTCTATTTTAATGACATGCTCCCTTTCTAACGTAGGTAAGGCTTTATCCTTCTCCTTGACCTGTAGTGGCATGAGATCATATAACATTTCCTAAGATTACAGACACAGTAGAACTAACCCTGGCACTGCCATTAGCTGGACCCCACCTCCTATCATCTCTGGCCACCAAGTCACTTTCCTTGTTGGCGGCTACACCGCACGGGTGGGACTGCCCGACGGTAAGTTGTTCAGTGGACAGTGTTCATCTTTTCTGAGAAGCGTGCACAACTGCCAGCAGCCATTTGCTGGTTACGATACATCCATCCCAAAAGAAAGTTTTAAAATTCATCATTTTAAAACTGTACCTGGCTGGCATCTGATAACTATAGTTTATACAATCATCCACTCACTTTTTATTTATTTTGTATTGATTCTTGCTAAGGAATGAAGTTGCATGATTTGGACTTGCCTACAGTTAGACATGTGGATCTGGGATTTGGCACTGCCTTGAACCTAAAAGAGGGGAAGGCTCCTGGCATTGCTATAGCAGTAACCACATAATGGTTGTCCTTTTTCATTTCCTTCCCAAGTGGATTAATAGCATGTCCTCCATCCACTATATTGCAAGCCCCAAGTTAATTATTCAAAGTCATTAGTAGCAGATTTATTCTCTTACTCCAGGAGCTCAGAAATGGGAGCTGCAACTCCTATTTAGTACAGATGTGATACCCAAATCGAACACAATAGATAATGGTTTTGTGTTATTGGATAAAATGAAAATCAAACAGTAAACCCTTCCATTAGGACATGTAGTGGTTTCACAGAGCCACCTGTGAATTCTAAATTACATGCAAATGGAAACTAACCACGTGTTCTTTAATTCAGTATTAAAACGTTGCTTTTGCTTGTCATGTAGAATAGCTTACTCAGATTTTTGGTTTCAATTTCTGTCAATTCCATAATCATTGCATGAGCAGTCACCATCACCGAATGCTGGTGCTGGCGCTCCTAATTTCCCTTTATTTTTTTGTTATTATTTCTAACTTTTTTGTTTTGTTTTTTAACTTGCAGTGCAAGCTTCACATAAAGCCTGGCAAGCCAAGGATGGTCCCGCATTCACCTGCTTTTGCAGTAATATTGTATCGCTGCCATCTGTGTCCTTTTTTTTTTTTTTACCTTTCCCCAGATACCAATAACTCTTAACTCATTTTGCTGAATGTTGTTGGGTGCTGGAAAGTGATAGAACAAGGGAATGACAGCAAAAGCTCTGTGCAGCTGGACTTGGCCTCTGGAAGTAAATGAGTTGCCTTTCATGCCTGTTGTGAGTGGCGGCAGGAAGCATGCCTGCTACTTGTATGTTGCTTTGGACGGAGGGAAGGAGGGTAAATTGCTACACGTTCGTCTGACAGGAAAACTCACCGCCTCAGCAGCTGAACCATAAACCTGAATATCCATGACAACTTACTGTTCTTAATTATTCATGATGGCAAAAGCCCCGAATTCACTCTCTGTCTCTTCTCCACACCCACCCCAAACCCAAGATAGCTTTGCACGTAGGCAGGCCAGTGGGTAAGCTGTATATGACTTTTAAACTTGCATGGATTGCTCATTGTTATAATAACATTATTTGGTCTGGGTTGTGGGTCTGTTCAGACTGACTGTCTCTGCTTATGGCTTTAAAAATGTGTCTGAACCCCTAACTCTCAAATTCTGGCCGAGTTGAACTGTAAGCGGATCAAGGCTACACTGATAAAAGTGAACATAATCATAGTTTCATAATCAGCAATCTCAAAAGTCGGATAAAGCAACATTGCTTAGCAGAAGCTACTAACGGTGATAGAATTAGCAATCTTTCATAAACACCGAAATCTGCTCTCAGTGGGCTGAGAGGAGGACCTAACACCTGATGTCAGGGATTCGGAACCTCCAATAACATTTTTCAGTAATCATGAGAAGAAAATTTTCAGAAATCCTTCAAATAAAAAATGTGTTGTAAATTGTGTATCATCTGGAGCACAAATTTGAGGGTGAATTGTCAATTTCAGGTAGAAATGGGAAGGAATATCACACAAACCCACAAGTCAAAGAAAGTAGAAACTCAACTTCACCACCAACCTCCTTGCATAGGGTCCTTTTGCTATTTGGCAATAAAGGGAAGAAAAAATATTACAGGTGGTCTTTCAAATCCAGTTGTCTTGAAGGAATTTCCTCACCTTTCCTTTCACAATTAGCTCACCTCCCTCTTTATGCCAATCAATGAAGGTTAGGACTAACCCATATGCCATGACATAGGCTACCCCCCATTGTTGTATGGAAATGGGCATATGTAATCTTTTTTCCATACTGTTCCTTTATAAGGCTTATCCTTTCATCTTGATTTTTCCCCCTCCTAATAACAAGATCCTACCAGCTTTCCCTCTAACTCTGTAGTCTCCTGTTCTTACATGAAAGACTGCATTTCTCATGAACTCGATGCTTTAGTATTTCCTTCGGCATTTTCCTTCTGGACTTACTCGTCCTACATAAATAGCATGGAGTGCACTGCACCTCCCCTGACACACACACACACACACACATTTTTAAGTCTATAGATGATTCCAGTGAAGATTATTTTTCCCTTCTCTTGGTCCTCAACCATACTCTTAGGGGAAAGGAATGGTCTTCCATGAACTGATTTTGGCTTATTTAGGCCACGTTAAGAAATTGGTTTCATTGAAGCACTAACGAAGCTGGGACAGAAACTGCAAACTAGGAGCAGCATTAGTGATATAGGGACAGGTTTCAGGGTAACTGGGCCAAGGTTTCTGTTTTTTTCTTTTTTTTCTTTTTACGATTCTAGTGTGATGCTGGCTGTGGAGCAGCGGCTATCGGATAGCTTGCTGATTCTAACCACGGGCTGAATTTGCTCATTTGCTTGCACCAGACAAAAGCTTGAATCCTTGTGTTGTATGCTTGTCCCAACCGCTGCTTGTGTGAGCATTTTTGTGCTTTGTAACAGAAAATACACTTCCAAATTCTCAAAATGCATCACTTTAAAATCATTTTTAGAGCATCACTAAACCCTCTTTAAAGCGAGCCTAGCCGTGGAAGGCATCCAGCTGACTTTGATTCCAAGATTATTGATTGATTTTTTCCATTAAATTTTCACAATAAGATAAATCATATGGAGAGTCAGAGAATAAAAAGCCAAAAGAAATATATAGTCTAGAGAAGCTTTTTAAAAATGCGTTGCTTCTGAACTTTCCCTGGCCCTGTTTGGTTTGTTATTGCTGTCCTTCTTTCTGTATCTGTGCCTTTTTTCACAGTAGCCCTTGGCTCTGCACGGAGTAAATGATACCCTCCAATCTAATTGGATGTGCTTTCGCCTTTGCATGTAAGTACGGTAGTAAGAAACCTTTGAGATTTTTCTGACTTTAAAATTAGAGAAGCATATGGGATAGGTGGATTTTTTTTTTTTTCCTTTTTGGAGGGGGAAAGGGAGGTAATGGTTTGAGAAGCTTTTGGTTTAAAAATAAAAGCTAACTATATTTAAAATGGCCAATTTTATATCTTTTTTCATGAGAAACACATAAATTCAGTTTTTCTTTGATATCAGTATGGAAGCCAGAAATTACTAGTCCCCCACCACACAGCACTGTGGGTGTCAGCAGATATATTACAGAGGGCCCTCGGTTCTATGTAAATACAGTTAGAATGAGAAACTACCACCTTCCACTGGAGAAAACCAAGAGGAAATATTGCTTACGCTAGGCTGCCTCGATGGCTGTTTAATTTTTTGTGATCTTGCTTGAATGGCCTGGCCCTCGTGCTAACTGCGGCAGTGATCCCCTCTTTTGTTTAAGCCAGGCGGCCCCAGCTGGCCCCTCCCCACACCTCCTGTTCAATCATAATGGCCAACCTTGTGCCTCTCCTGGACTTTAGATACCGTAGTAGCTGTGCACGCAGTAGGATGTGGTGGGAAAACATGTATGAGAATTTATTGGGAGGTCAGACTGTGTTTTCCAGCTTAGGCTCTTTATTAATTGGTCAGGATTCTGTCCAGAAAGGGCACCTCCAACGGGGACAGTTAATGGAAAGCTGGGCGCAGGCTCCTTATCTTCCTCCTCTGCTTTGTAATCAATAAAAGCAATAAAAATATTCTTCACGTCTGTGCACCTCCAACAAACAGACTTGGTTTCCTCGCTTCCCTGACATATCCATGTGTTTCACATACAGTCTGATTGGGCTTTTCAGCTGTTATCACCCTTGTCATACTGTCTCTGTGTGGTCCGACCAAAGCTGTCCATTCAGACCATCTCCTGTTTCATTTGCAAGTGTTTGACACTGCCAAGTCTCAGCTTCCAAAAGTCATGGTTCCATTAACAGAATATGTATGTATGACTCCTGAGTGGAAATTATGACCTACAAAGTCTAGATTGTATGTAGGTATGAAGGGAATTTTTTTAATAAATTGGAAATTAAGCTGTGAACAGCATTAGAACTTTGTCTATTTCTTAATTTTAAAATATGCTGATATGCCTTAAACTGTAGTTGTAGATCATTGTCATTTTGCTATTTGAAAATAACCAATGTGTTTCTAAAACTGTTGTGTAATCTACTTTCAGTGTTAATGCAAAATTGTCATATATGTAAGCTGCATGTTTGCCTTGTCTTTTTTTAAAAAAACTAAAATAATTGTATCGATGTGAAGCATATCATTTTTTCAAGTATGAAGGTAATCACTTAGCAAACATGCCCAGTAATATGGTGTCTGTTACGGCAGGAGAGTGTGGCCAGGTAATCTATGCATATATCACTAGTGCCAACACACAGCGTGGGGGGAAATATATTTTTACCCAAACATCGTGTGCCCTTTTGTGAGTTCTTTTAGTCCCTGTTTGATATGCATGTGCACCCATGCTGATTACACGGGAAAAAAAGAACAGGGAAGAGGCCCCGGCTTCCCTGCCTCGTCTGGTGGGCAGCACCCATTTTGCCAAGATACCATCTGGTGTCCTGTGCTTCAAAGGCCGTCTCTACCACTTTCTCCCCCATTCCCAGGCCCTTCCGTCCTGGCCAGTGTCCCCTGGTGCCCACTGCCCAGGCCCAGCGGAGGCACCTCTTCGTGCCTGGCCTTTGCTGCCGGCTCTGCTGCGCTCACACCTGTGCTCGGGGAAGTGGTCCCTTTAACTGACACTGCTGTCCTCTCCCAGTTCGTTAGAGAGACACTCTTATTTTTAAGCCTTTATGAACCACATTTGAATCTGAACTTTCTTTTTTCTCTTCTGTAGCTTCTTCTTTATGTAACCATCCTGTTGACAAGCCCTACTCTCTCCTAATGGACATAGAGCATTAGAAGAGCAGGAGCTGTCTGTTCACACGTGTTGGGGAAGAGTTACCTCATCTCCACCATCGCCTCCTTTTAAAGTCTGGGTTGAATATTTCACTGTTGTTTGTATTTGTCAATTTCTGTTTACAAGCCACTACCCATAGTGGTTACTGAAGTGACTTATCACTACCAAAAAGTTATACTATTTACCAGGAAATCGAGTGAAACAGAACTGGGGCCAAGACCCAACGTGGCCCCGTGTTGGGACTCTCTTGCTTAACAGTCAGGTTCTTGACGTTGCTGTCCAGGAATTCACAGACTGAAGACAGCATGTGCCCTGACCTGAGGCGGCCCCACCTGCAGGGTTCACAAACTTGACCTCATGTTAACGCCATACCTCTGCCCCATGAATGACATTCTGAACAACCCCATTAGGACCTTCTCAATCATAAATCAGGCCATGAGATCTGGGCAACATTTTTCTTCCCTTTGTTAATTTTATGGGTTGTTTTGGAGTTTGGGTGGGTTTTTTTCTTAAATATTTGGTATTGCATGAACAGAGATGGCTGCATCTTTTTTTAGTTGGTGTGTTCTACTGATACAATGTTTTTATTTTTCAGCTGACCATCTGCCTCTTGAGAGAGAGAAGTGGGCATCCTTCCTTTAAATTCACGAACTTCTGTTGTTTTATTTGACTCTTTTTCTGTTACCTGCATCCCTTATTGTTTTGGGTTTGGGATTCTGTTTTGGAAAAAAAAAAAAAAAAAAGCCAGTTCTGCTTTATGTATTGGTTATTCAAACTTAGGTCTGGTATCAAAATTAAGCTAGTTTTAAGCTCAAGGAGAAATTTAAATGAAGTCACAGAATTCTCTTAAAATGGTCTCATCTCAGACATGCATACACAAAAAACCTTTTGCTGTCAGAGGTTTGGACCTACATGTTTCAAATGTGCCAGTCCTGGGTAGATGCTTTCCTGCCTCTGGGACTCAGTTTATATTTAAAGGGACCTGACAATAGCGTCCTGGTCCATCCCTGCCTTTGTATTTATGTGAGGCTCTGCTTTACCTTCTGTCCAGAGCTATGTCTTGGGCCCTGGGGAGTGAACCCTGAAAAAGCACCCAGCCCGTCCCAGACAACAGCCTCGTTCGCAGTGGTTCTGATCCGGTCTTCTCAGAATTACCAGGTGGCTTTAAGTTACCCTGTAACCTCACTACTCGTCTATAGTTTTTGCTTGTTTCCATCATTTTTCAGCCCCACAGTAGGCAGATCACAAAAACGTTGTTGGTGGCACGAGTTGCGTGCGAAGATCCTTTGGAATGTCCCCTCTACTTAAGGATGGTGACACAGGCTTCTGTCGGAGGGTGAGATGAAGGAACAGCCCCTGCCTCTCGAATCATTGAATTCTTGGAAAGAAGTTTAGAGCAATTAGATGAGCATGTTTTTTTTTACTTAGACACTTATTAAATGCAATAGTCAGATTCATCTGAGTCACTAAATGATCAAATTTTGAGTAAAGAACCATCCCTTCAAGTATAACCTGTAAGGATAGAAATCTGCTAGGGACCAGGAGCTGGAGGGGGAGGATGGGTGGTACTCATTTAATGCTAGAACATGACAAATTAACATACCAATTATATGGTAAACTATTGCCTGTGAAACCACTGTTGTAGTCACTAAGTACAAAACTTTAAACTTTTAAACTTATTTTTAATATTTTAATATCTTTACCCTAGCACTCATTTTAAAAACAAATTCTGCATTCGGTTGTAGACATTCATTTTTTTATTTTTTTAATATATATTTTATTGATTTTTTACAGAGAGGAAGGGAGAGAGAGATAGAGAGTTAGAAACATCGATGAGAGAGAAACATCGATCAGCTGTCTCCTGCACATCTCCTACTGGGGATGTGCCCGCAACCCAGGTACATGCCCTTGACCGGAATCGAACCTGGGACCTTTCAGTCCGCAGGCCAACGCTCTATCCACTGAGCCAAACCGGTTTCGGCTGTATTCATTTATTGACCAATATTTAAAACTCAAATTAGGCAGGATATTTTAAGTAGAGAGATATGTAGTCTATTGTTGCTATTCCTTTTTTTCCTTTTTAGACCTCCGATTAAAGGGAGTGTAATAGTAATCATCTTAATGAGAGGGATTAGGGAACAAGCTATTATAAGTAGACTAGAGACCCGGTGCATGAATTTGTGCACGGGTGGGGTCCCTTGGGGTGGCCTGCAGAAATGGGCCCCAGCTCACACCCACAGCCTCGCAGCCCCGCAGCCCCGCCTGGCACCCCACCTTGGCCTGATGCCACCCCCTCGCCTGCCCCACCATCCCACCTGCGGGGCGATCCCCTGCCTGGCTCCCTCAGCGCCCCTTGCCGCTGCTGCTAGTCACTGTCTGTGGAGCAATCGGTGGGGCAATCAGGCCCCCACTCACACCCGCCTTGACCTGGTGCCACCCGCTCATCTGCTCCACCATCCTACCATGGTCCTGCTCTCATCGGGGCCCATCGGGGCTGGCAGTGCCTCCACTGATGTCTGCTGCTAACGCTGTGTCACCTGCCATGTTCTGCGCAGCCCCTTGGTCATCAGCACACATCATAGCCAGTGGTCGAATGACTGCCCGAGGGGATAATTTGCATATTAGGCTTTTATTCTATAGGCTTGGCCTCTGCTCAGTTACGGAGGAAAAGCTGATCACGGACACACACCACTGGTTTAATGCACTGCCATCTCTCCATTTAGCCGGCATTTTACTTCAATGGAATTCCTTTTCTCAAGTGCTGATAACACTGGTAGGTTCTCAAGTTCTGGCTATGAAACCATCGCAGAGCTAATTATCAGTAATAAAAATTCACTTATTCCATGGTATACTGAAAAAGCAAGAATTGATCCCCAAAACCTATTTGCATTGGTAACAAGCTATTCCCCATTCAATCTTAAAAAATATTACTCAGTTTCAGATACAGCCTGTGCTTTATTGCTCCAGGTGTGGCCTGGATGGTCTGCCAGATACTGCCACAGCATTAGTAGAGATTGATTTCCTGAATCAGTATGTGCTGAAGTTGGGCAGATAAAATTAGGTCATCTTTCTAATATGGTTGGCCAAACTTTTTCCCATCAACTATACCTTTAAATGAAACTTCCTTCTTAGTTTTTAGTTTTTTGGTTTTATTTTTGCCTATCGTTGGCCCAGCTTATGGGTAAAAAGTTCCAATATCTGAAAAAGGACATAATTTTCACTATTCAAATGATGTTTCTACACAAAACCTTTTGCTTAGCAGATGACTTACCTTTCCACCCTGGAGATCGGCATTGATGGCATGCAGCTCACTTTGAATACCCTTGTACTTGAATTCTGAAGGCCATGGTGTTTAGTCCTTGTGATTGACCCATTGGGCTTTCAGAACAATCTCTAGCAGGCAGCTGGCACCCCCAAGGCTGGTGAGGGGCGAGGATATGTTCATTGTGAGTCTAGGTATCCACTCACCCCTCTCTCCAACATAACTGTTCTGACAAGTAGCTATATACAAGTGAGATCTTTTGGTTGTCAGTGGGACATTTAGGTGAGATACACATGACTCACATCTGGCTCATACTCAGCGCCGTGAGTTGAATGACATTTTCAGTTCGCTGTGGAAACTTTTCAAAATTATGGCATCTTGATAGATCAGAGGAGGCAGAGGCTATTACATAACAAGGTTGGTCCCTGTCCCACAAGACAAGTGTGTATGGCGGGGAGGGTACAGAAAAACATTCTGTATAGAGCTTGGCTCAACCACACATTCTCTGTACAATACTTTTAGACCTCTCCTTGCCCTATTCCCATCCATCCACCCACCTTCCCCACACCCTCACTCTTTCCAAATACTTTTTTATTCTATATTCAGCATTAGGCCTACATCAGGTGCTGGAGATATAGTCAGGAACCATGAATTGCACTCTTTCCGTATACCTTATAAGCAAACTTCTCGAGTAAAAAGGTAAGCCCTTTCTATGCTAAATTGCTGGATAGATCATATTCTGAAAAGCAAAAGCATACCACCACCAATTGCTTTTCAGTAGTTGCTTGTTTAAGGTTGCCTTTTATTTTGCAGTGTCCTCTTGCCCAAATAAGCTGTTTCTGAGAAGCCAGTTCACTAGGCCTATGCTATTCTTTGTCCCTCTGCTGTGTAACAGAGGTCAACAATTCTGGCATATTGTAACGTGAATTTGTAACTGCAATTGATGTTGAATATTGCCTTGCAACAAGAGATGAGTGTTCAACTACTCATTCCCATACAGTAAACCAAACAACTCAATTTCTCCCAGAAATTTAAGATGTTTCATTTTCCTAGAAGCACCATCTAGTGGCCAAAGCTCAAGACAGTAA